ATGATGTAATGAGGCTGTGATATTGGCTTTTGTTACTTTTTCTAGAAATGTAGGGTCGGACGAGATTCTTTGATAGGTCGTATAGGATGTTTAGTGTGTCATTTATTTTTGCTTCGCATTCTTGAATATTCATTACAACCGTGCCGTTGCCCTTTGTCAGCTGGGAGCACGATGATTTCTTTGTTCTTCTTCAAAACTATGATCATCATCAACTTTGCTCGACAATCCTCTGTGGATCTTGGCCTGCTCTAAGATTCGTCGCCATTCTGTTCGGTTTTGGCAACATGGTTGCCATCTTTCTGAATTTTAATATTCGTAAGTCGGTTTCTACTCCATCTAACCACCTAATTCGCGGCCGGCCTTTACTTCTATTTCCTACAGGTGTACCTGTGGTTAGCTTTTTAGCACAGGTATTTTCTGGCAATCGTATTATGTGTCCAGCCCATCTAAGTCGCTGTGTTTTTCGCTTCAAACTATGTGAGGCGTCTTTTTCTTCGTGAGTTAAATTTCTTTTGGGTGGTAAGTCAGATTAATTCTGCTTCTTCCTAATGTTCGAGGAGAACTGATGAATTCACCGGTGAGACTGAAAGTTGCGTTTCACTAGCTGCCTATTCAATGGCCCCATCCTTTCTCGAACCTATAAAGAGAACGCAGGGGTTTACGATGGGCCAAGCCTACATAAAAAGTTCGAGAATGCTAAAGCCTGACGTTACAAAGGTTCTTCGGCAGATTTCCAAAACAAACCAGTAGACGATCTGTTCTAGTATATTCAAGGGAACTCCATATAACAGTTAACTATAGAGAGATGATTTTTACACCTTGCGGTCGTTAATTCTAAATCCTTACATAGTTGTGGCTAGTACAATTTTTTATTGTTCCTAGATTTGTCGTCTACTCCAATATTACCGTGTGCTTCCAACAATTTCTTATGTTAGAACGGTCGACGAAAGCTTTTTCAAAATCTAAGCAGTACCGAAACATATCCAAACTGATAAACTTACTATTTTAAATCTTCTTCGCATTTTTTATATCGTCATCGTGAAGTATTTTTATACATCTAGTAATTATTTTCTAGTAAACGTCAAGTGTCAATCCAATTTAGGCTACACACGGTAGTCAAATTTCTTATAACGGATGAGATAGTATCGATTGTGTTTTTGTTTTCCAAGTTTTTATCCTTGAACCCGCCTTGGGCATATCTAGTACCTTAACTCCCTAACCTTCTATTATTAAATTTTATACATATATGTTTTAAAGTAATAAAATACATGGGCGGGGAATTAAATGAGACGTTTCTGTCACACTTGGGTAAAGGTGAATATTGTTTTCAACACGAAATACTATTTCTATACATTGATTCAGTTGATTCATGCGTTCAATGCATATTAGTTTACATTCTTTTATACATACCTGAGAGACTATATAAAAAAATGAAAAATATGTGCCACATTTATAAGGATTTATTGGATTATTTCATCTTTTTGACTAAAGTAAGTTATTGTTTTTGCCTTAAGAGGAGTAAACCTGTAGGTTTTTAACTAGTATAACTATTTGGAGTACTTCGCTGTTTTAGTAATTTTCTTTCTGTGTCATACGAAGTCAGCTTTTCTGATTTATTTTGTTTAATTTGTTTATGTTGATCCATCTCAATTTTCTGCAGACCGATTCCCTCGTAAATGTCTACCAATAATTTTCATATTTTACATTTATGAATTGTGCACCAAGCTTGTTTTTGATCCTGCTAGATATCTCTTTTGTATGCAAATTTGTTTTAACATTTATATGAAAAAATATAAATAATTCCTCTTTTCTAAATTCTATTACTCTGGTTATTCATTAACTAGGGCATAAGGAGGCTGAGAAGAAGGAGAAATGTTCTATACGGTGAAGGGAGAAAGGTTTTAAGTGTATATATAATATATATATATATAATATATATATATATATATTATATATATATATATATCGAAAAGAAGAGTACGGCCGTAGAAATTTAGTACTAAATGGGTTCACCAAGATAGAGGATTGTTCTCGGTCAACAGTTGGAGAATAAAAGAAAGGATACTTCATCTTTTTATTGAAGACGTTTCGTGTATTAATTTATACACATCAACAATTCATCTACAAAATTATATAAATAATATACATCCATCCATAGATAAAAAAGTGCACATGGTTTACCTTGCAAAAGATATGCAAGAATAATATGATACAAGTGAAAAAAATAGCTTAACTTGTGAACCATATCTGTGGAAAGATGGCGAAACCGTATATGTCAATTTTTGATAGTTTTCAGGAGAGCACTTTTAAGGTTTCAAACTTAATATTAATTCGGTGATAATAGGTATTGTTATGTTTTTTGTGCAATAGTACAAGGAACTGAATGTACTTCTAATGTGTGGAACATGAAAGAAGATTATTTGCTAGTTTTTGGAATATCTTAGGTATTTTGGATATATGTGGATTTGTCATCTTATAAATTAATTGTTGTATGTATATACTGTTTTGAAATGGAAATGAAAAACAAGACATTTGTATTTTCTGTTAATGTTTGAAATGTTAGAAATTGGATTTGTACAACCAATTAGTCCTTCTTGAATTCCAAATCCAATGCATCATCGCACAATTCGCTCATATTCTTGTGCGTTGGATGTGGTTGGCAAATTTTTATAAATGGCATGGCATGTGTTTGTACTATCAAGGTCTAACATCGATAAAAGGTCCATCTTTTTCTTTGGATTAATACCCAAGGGCTATTTGTATGAGCAAGGGACAGTTATGGTAGCCATTGAAGGTCGACCTCCTTCTTTTTTTCCCCTCTTATATCTAGAATTTTAAATCGCGCTTCATCGTGAAGAGTATACTTAAACTGAATTAGCCCAAACTCCTTGGTATATCTTAGTCATTTAATATTAAGCCAATATATTTTGTTTCACCTACAGTGTTGCTTGTTCGTTTGGACTAGTATGTCACGTAAGAGCTTGGAAAATGCCAGAAACTCTTCTTGTTTAATATCAACCACTGTAAATTTGGATTTACCCCTAAGCGATGGTACAAACTGAAACCAGTCCCGTGGTACCATTATTTTAAAATCATTTGAAATTTGATTTTTACATCTTTCAATTCGTGTGTAGTCGCTATCACACTCGAGGCTCGTATGACCTGGCGAAATTTCTGATCAATTATTTCGAGAGTTGGTTTCTTCTGAATGGCATACAAAAACATAACCGCCATATTAATGTTGCGGTGTATTGTCCTCCGCACATGTCCGAGCTATGTTGTTACGTGCTGAACGGTCTCTGATAAACTCATTACTTTACTGTAGGGTATGAGGCAATTTGAATCAGAACCTCTGCCTCCAATGACTTCATACCACATAAAGCAAACAGACGATTCAGTGGAAGAACAATCACATATAGTAAGATTAAACACAGATAATAAACGCTTATAGTAGACTATGTTAGTTGATAAATAGGGAGCTGGTAGGACTTTAATGTAAATCAAAACTCAGTACTCTGTTTCGAATTCATCATTATTTAAACTATCTCTTTATCTATTCGTTTGCTTTTCAAAGGCTTTATTAGCTTCGTTAATGTGGTCTTACTAGTTGTTCATTACATTTTTGCTCTAACTGTCTCAGTACTAGCATTAATTTTTTATTGTTTGATATTCGTCACATTTGCGACATGCATCGATTTAGGGCGTGTTTAAATTTATACCCATTACTATTGAATTACCTCACAAAAAACATTAGCAGATTTCTTTAACAACCTTATTTTTAAAATATCTTCTTGATATGCTTTATTGCATTTGACCGATGATTGTAGGCGGCTCGGTAGAAATATTTGGTTAGGATTATCTCGCCTTGCATAATGACTTTCATGTATTGGTTGGATATTGATCTATAAATTTCTGAATTTTACTGCGTTCTTCGACCAACTTACTCCATGCAGATTGATAAAAAAATGCTTGCCCAATTTTCTGAGGTTCTGTATGTACTGAGTAACTAACAGTTACGACCCGATTATGTGGCTTTCCTCCTTTCATACCTCTGCCTTTTATTATTGGTATTTGCATTTAGAAAGAGTAATTCTTTCACATAATACTTGTTTACGCATATCTGAAGTTTTGTTATTAAAACTAGACCAAATTATAGTTTGTTGTTCAGGGGTGCAATCTTGATGACAATTTTTTGTACAATATTTTGTTATTGGTCTAGATACTACGACTACGCGATGACAACTGAAAACAATTTGGTAGAGGCAAAATCAAATAAATCAACACGTTGCTTTGAAACTCATCGCTCATTCCACATATAAAGAGGAGGGCAAAACGAAATATGTTTGCAAATATGCAATTGTCATCCTTAATAAATAATAATGTTGTTGGTTTATAGAAAAGAAGTAAATACAATATATGTATTTATATAGTTTTGCCAACTTTTAACTAAACGCCTATCAACATAAATAGTGGTGTTACTTTATAATATATCTGCATATAGTATATTGCCACCTCCTCAAGTACCTTACTCTAAAGGTGTTATATGGAGACAAGAATAGGTATAAGCTATTATATCAGGGGTGGCCAACCTTTTTGGGCCATACCTCACTGGGACGTCCATGGCGACGTAGCCAGCGACGTCGCCACGGCTACTCCAGGGCCACCGTGAGTCGCCAAAACACGTCGCCAAGAACGCCGCCAGCGATCACCACAGTCGTTCACGTTATAATAGACAGAAATGGACGCGGAAGAAATCGCACTGTTGTATCAATTTTTATGTAGGTACATCGAAAAAATATTAAACAGAAGAAGAAGGAAAAAATATGGGTACATTCCTTTTATATCAAATCGAAGAGAAAGCGGTGTTGTTTAGTCAAATTATATGAAGATTTAATGAAATATCCCGAAAAATTTTTTCAATTACGTGAGAATGTCAGTGGCATCATTTAATGAATTATTGAGCTTATGTCGGGATGAGGATCTGACATAAACAAGATACTATGTTAAGAAAATCCGTTAGTCCAGAAGAAAAACTCTTTGGTGACATTAAGGTAAGTAAACATTTATTTCTAGTCTGTTACATTTTATGACTATTACAAATTAAATAAAATTAAGTAGAAAATTTAAAATTATCTATAAGTCATATATATCAAGAATTGATGATTTCTTCGAAAAAATTGGATACAGATGCGGGTGACTGATATTAAGAATGTGGTATTTTCTGATCCTCCAGGACGAGAAGAATATCCAAAGTGTATGGGTAGAATTATTCACTTGTGATTGGGACCACGAACTTTGTTGATAAAGGTGTCCATAAGTCCCCTGGTGCTTAAACTGCCCGAAGAGACTCAATATTACGGGTGGCATATGTCAAGCAAGGTCATCATTTGAATTCTCGTAACCATATTTTTTTCTTGAGGTTACTTATTTTTTAGGGTACCTAACAAAGATAGAAAAAAAAATAAGCCTATCTTCGTCCTCACTATTGGCCTCATGTTTTTCTCTTATTTCAATGCTGTCTGTTCAGTGTTTCAAGGAATTTATCCTTATCAGGTTCTTGTAGTGGATTTTTTTGTTTTTTTTTTTTCTTTTGGGACATTAATACCACCTCCCTGTCTATTTCAATATTCTCCACAGATTCATCACCAGCCACGTGGCTCTGGTTCCTTAATAGCTATCACGAGGTTTTAAAAATTGTAGCTGTTGGAAGAATACATATTGACATTTTTCTTGATCCACCACCAGGATCCAGACTTTAAATTTTTTGGTCAGACTGACTTCCCTTGTTTAACACCCTCGTATACCTTTTCCACTTTTTCTGTAAAGCAACACCGTAACACAAGAAAATTTATATATAATAAATATAGATGATAATATATTTATAATATACATAATAGATTACAATAAATATGACAAGATATTTTAATTTTTTTTTTCTAGGTATCTTTGCATCAGGATGTAACTTATCAAGGAATTCTATTACAACTACAGACTTGGTTATACAACGATTTGTACTATAATTAGAGAAGTGTGCGACATAATATGCAATATCAAGAAAAATTTATAATTATGCCAAACACAGAAAACGATTGGGAAACAATTGCAAATGTATTTGAAAAAACATCGAATTTTCCACATTGCAATCGGTGCTATCGACGGAAAACATGTCAGACTAATTCAACCGATAAATTCCGGATCGCTGTACTATAACTATAAACATTACTTTTCCATTGTCTTAACTTGCAATATGTGATGCTAATTACAAATTTTCAAATATAAGATATCGGAGCGTAATGGGAAAAAGCAGTGATTCGGGAATTTTCAAAGAAACTGCTTTTTAACCAGAAACTTGTTAGCAATTCTCTAAATATTCCTGAAGCCAAACCACAAGGAAATGGTGACTACATTCCATATACGGTAGTAGGAGATTGAAGCCTTTGGTTAACACTAAAATCTTATGAGACCATAGGGAAGACCACAATCTTAGTTACAAGCAAAAAATTTATCAACTATCGTTTTATCCAGAGCGCGCCGTTTCATTGAATGCACATTTGGTAATATTATCCAATAAGTTGGAGAATATTTATCACATACCACTGAATGTACATAATATAGAATTAGCAAAAAAAATAGTAAAGGACATGTTGCATTTTGCACAATATTTGTACGGTCAATAGATGGCTATCATATAAGATGGCTGAATTCATACGACGAATACTTTTGACGATACCGTGATTCCAAACTGCCAAACTGCTACACATCAAGAAACGAAATAGAGGAGGTAGAAACAGCACAATACATTTCGAGACAAACTGGCAGAATAATTTTGTTAATCAGGGGCCACTACCATGACAAGAAAGAAATGTATAATAGCTATAAAATAGGAACTCAGAAACGGTATAACTACCTATTAACTTTTTTGACTCATTCTAAATATCTGTGTTAGGAAAACATTTAATAACTTAGGAATCCGTCATCTAAATTATATTATATTTCTTATTATTATAGTTTTATTATGTATTATTAATATTATACCTAATATAATAATGCATGATAAGGTCTGTAAAAATACGAAATAAATAATTATAGCACGGATTCTTAGGTTAGGAAATTTTTTTTCTTGGGTTATTACATTATAATTAAACATATATTATAAATAATTAACATATATTTTATGTTATAAAATGGTAATAAATAATTGTACTTACATAGTTGTTTTTTCTCTTGGTTGCTCATCTTCTTCTTTATCTTGAAAAATATTAAACTAATTCTTCCCAACATTTAATTTTTAAGTTGCGATCTGAGTAATCATTTGACGCACTGTTCCACAAACATGGTCGATTTTCGATTTCTACAATAAATCTTTCAGTATCAAAACTCATTTTCCTTCCTAGTTTTCAATGTAGCGACTGGTTGGCGACTGAATGAGTGACGGTACGTATACTCTCGTTTATATTGCTGGTATCGTCGCCAAGTGGCCAGGGTAGCCAGTCGCCACAAGAGGAAACTGTATCACGCTGGCGACGCCTCCAATTCGGGCCCGTCGCCAAGTGGTCGCCAAGTGAGGTACATTCCATTCATTTTAAAAAGAATTAATTTGGAAACGTCGCTGGCTACGCCGCCATGGCGTCCCGGTGAGGTATGGCCCATTAAGTCGAGTGCCAATATGAGAACAAAAAAATTTGGCGTACCACTAAAGTTTTTCGACATACTAATATGGATACTATATATTAATAATATACGGTACAATATGTATTTCTTATGTAAAATTCCATATTTTTCCGTTTAGTCAAGATAGTGGAGGTTTAAAAAAATAACGTAATAAGTAAAACATAACAACAAACTTACTTTATTGTTAATAAAAATAAAATAAAAACGCTAAACAAAAAAAACTTAAATAGTTTTCTTATTATCTAAATTTCTTAAATTATCTAAAATTCTAAAATTATTAAAACAGTACTTATTTAATGTGGTAATTTGAACTTGTATTTTTTAAATTAATTCATCTATATTGAGATTAATTTTCGGAACTAGCCAACAGAATTAGATTTTTTAAATGCATGTCAGTTAATCGTGACCGATATTTTGATTTTATTATGTTCATAATAGAGAACATTTGCTCACAAACGTACGTTGAACCAAATCTACAACAATAACTCTCTGAGCTAACTCGTGTAAATTAGGAAAATTGTTTGCTGTACAAATTCCAAAATTTAATATAATTGGGATCAGTAACAGTTGAAATAATTTCCCTATATTTGGTTTTTAGTATAGTGTGGTTCTGTAAATCAATAATTTCGATCTGTATTTCAGCTGAGTAACAATTGATATATTGCAGAGAAATAGAAAAAAGGATTTTATGAAAAGGTCAACATTCATTTTGTCTTTTTGAAAATCTTCAAACCGGCTATTGAATGAACCTAGCAAAAATAGATATAAGGTTTTTAAATCTGGTCATAAATTGGAGTTCTACTGACCTTTTTTGGCTAATTCCTGCATTAATCTGAAATGTGTCAATCTCTGTTCTCCAAAATCGTTACAAAAAAGCATAAGTTTATTCACAAAAGAAGATATATGACCAACTAGAGTAGGAAAAAATACAAATTTTTTCTCTGTAATCTTAAATTTAATAGATTTAAAATGTCTCATAATATCAGTGAGAAAAAGCTACATCAAAAGCCAATCTTTATGATTAAGTTAACGAGCACTGACTGGGTAGTTCATTGTTTTCTTGCAAATATTTTAAGACGCACTCCTTCAAGTTCCAAAACCTTTCGAGTGCATTTCCTTTGGAGAGCCAGCGCACACAGCAATGGAGAAGTAACTCCTCCATCTTGCTCCGTTTCTTCCGCGAACAGGTTCATCGAAATTGGTCGTCGATTTCAATGCCCGAGCTCGTATTTTGTTAATGCAGCGTGTTACAGGGTCAACAACAGATGACATGTTTAGGTCCTTGGCACAAAGAGCTTCCTGGTGAATAATACAATGGTACTTAAAAACTTTTCTTCCCAAATAGTTTTCCCAGTAATGTAACAAACCCCTTTAGTCTACCAACCATGCAAGGAGCTCCATCTGTACAAACACTATCTAATTTTGACCATTCACTTTTTGACTTCGATTACGTTTTTAAGCTGTTGAAAAATGTCCTCTCCTGTTGTTGTGACTATTGGCGCAAATCCAGAAGCTCTTCGGCATTTTCAAATTAGCATGGTATAACGGACAAAAATGCTTAACTGCGCATTTTCTGTGTTGTTACAACTTTCATCCAACGACTAAAGAAAAGAAGTTGCAGGATTTGTAATCCACTTATAATTGGAAACAACATCCTGACCCATATCATATATACGCGCATGACTGTAATTTCGCGGGATAATGCAATATTATCGACCATATTTTTGATCTTTTACATCTCCCACATTTTTAGCAAATATTGCCAGACTATTTTTAATTGTCTCCTCTCCATCAGGTAGCTTTATTCTTCCGGCTAACAGCAGAAAAGTTCTAATGATGTTTTAACCATAGTTTCCATTTCATCACTTCTACTTCTGAAACAGTGACGTTTGGCTGGCTAGGGTTTTCTTTTTTTTTTTCAATAAAAGTCGGCTCGCAAATGTGAACCAATAGTGATATTTGTTGCTGAAGTCCTTATGCAGTTGTTTATAATGTCGTTCCAGGTTAAATTTTTTCGGAACTGCTACAGACAATCCACATATCAAACAAACAGGCTTTGAAAGTATTACGAGTAGTAAATAAAAATTGTTCGTCCCCAAGCAGGTTGAAAATCGCGAATGCAATATCATCTTCGTATTTTCGTTTTGAAGTCGAAGTCATACTCGTGGACATATCGAACAAATACTTTTAAAATTTTAAAGAAACAATGCGCGATGACAAAATGTGCACATACAACGGGGGCAGTTTAAAATAAACTAAGGAAGGGTAACGCAGTCCTATTGCACATTACGACAGCTAGGATCACGTGTACCAATCGCAGCAATATCGCTCGCCAGAGGATGCAATGATGCCGCATCTATCGTTACTTTCGTAAACCTACCAAGTTTCTTCTTATTATTTTTTGTTTTTCAAGTTTTAATTTTTTTGAAAGTTTGATCAGTCTGATAGGACTCAATGGTGCCACAGAGTGGCACGCTGCCGCGGTTTGGCCATCCTGTATTATATGGTATTGCCATCTTAAGGTGTCACTGTTTTTAAATTTATTTGCTTTTGATACCTTTAATAACACAATACCTAAACAATCTGCAGCATACCTTATTTTGCCATCTTCTATAATCTCATCACTACGAATATGTGGGTATAAAAATCTCACAATGTAAAAATGTTGACATATATGCTTTTGCCATCTTTCCACAGATATAGAAACTACAAAACGTTAAGTTTGATTTATAAAAAAAAACAGAACTAAGACAGTTTTGTAAATGTTACAAAAGTTGTAATTGTTCAAATAACAGACATGTTAAAAAGCTTTAATGCAAGTAACAAAGTTTTTTTAAGGATTGGCAGAAATCGACCGTTTTAGTCTTCTTTGCAAACCATTTTTCTCGTTCTTTCGTCACCTCCAGAAGCTCATTCAGTATATACGACGTCCGTAGTGATTTTATCAAAATGCTCCATATTTTAAACATTCACGATTTGTTAAGGAGTAAGGCCACGGTAACAGTCTAAAGTTCATAAAGTAGAGTTTTTTTGAATGAAAGAAAAAGTAACAGGAAAATAGTGAAGGGTGTGATTGATTATGTTTACTATTATTTTAAATAAAAATGACCACACTGCAGTGGTTCTCACAAGCCATGTTTCATTGGAAGCAATTTTTTTACCTTATGTATTAAAGATCTCAGAAATCAAAAGTCAATTAGCGTTCTAAAATATTTAAAAAGGTACATTTACATTATTATTCAAGTAAACTTTGGAATTCTAATTAGTTTTGAATTAATCTGCCACGCTCATTTGTTTGAGTTTTATTCAATTTTATTTTTTTGACAATGCTACCGTTTCCTAATGAAGAAACGACTAACATAGATGTTTTATTTATTAGTCAGTAGTAATGTTTGATACACTGGACATCGCTGGAATGACACCATTGTTTAAATAACCATTTACCAGTTTCTGAAACATTGATTAGACTTTATACAGGCTGACGTTAATATGGGCTGATGGACGTAAGGCTTGTGGAAAACTCACACGCTTAAATTGAAGCATGATTCCGCTTCATATCAAAATTTGGGATAAAATTTTCGACGATTAGTTTCATTTTTTAACTACAACCTATCTGTCTTATCTAAAATAAAATAGAAATATAAATTCTCCGATCGAACAACCAAGATACGTGAATTTTTTTATTTTTTCCGTTTTATATTGAGTAGCACAGTAAAACGATTATTAGTATTATTATTTGACGATGTTTTTTCTTTCCAGGTTTCAAGTAATGGTATAGAAGTATTGACATATCTGATAGATCGTTTAGGAACAGATTTTAGGCCATATATACAAACAATATTACCGAATGTAATTGATAGATTAGGAGATGCCAAAGACACAGTCAGGGAAAAATCTCAACTTCTTATCCTGAAACTGCTGGAGCGGAATGTCCTAACTCCACAGACGCTCATCGAAAAACTTCAGCCAGGTTTTACTCACAAAAATGCAAAAATTAGGGAAGAAGTTCTAAGATGTTTAGTTAACACATTAAATGAGTAAGTATTTCTTTTTAAAGTTTAATCAAACGGAATTTTTCAAGTAATCTTAGCCCTTCTGTTGTAATCTCTTGCAATTTCATATTTCATCAAATCCCTAGGATGCCCAATACTTTTTGTAAAAAGATAACCTCGGTGTATGTTTTACTTTTTCAAGAAGAAATTTGGGACCCATGATAACACAGCAGTGTGTGTGTTTTTAAGTAGCTTTGTTCCTATTAAAAAAACAATATATAAGCCCTTGTACTTTAACGAGGTACTTGGAAAGCTCGGACCTGAGATCAGTATCTTTGCTTGCATTTACCCTGGCATCTCATAGCAGTGATACCAAGATTGGTGATTGTCATATGTACGCACCTCCAGTCAAATGTTACTTTTAATAATTTACGGAATGGTTTGAATCCATAAGAAACATTCTTTCCCCTTTCTTTTAAAGTTTGTTGGTTTTCTTATTTCCAATTATTTTATTATGATCTAGCACCCATGTCAGGTTTAGCCTGTGGTTTGCTGTTATTTTTGCAAAATATTGTTTTTCATCCAAATAAATGCTGACTCATAAGTAAATGTATTGAAGAGTATTCAAGTCTGCATGGGTAAGATTTTTTTGAATGTTTTTGTTGAATCTGGGTTAAATAGCAAAAATTAATTATTATTTGACATAAAAAAAATTTAATTTTTAGCAAAAAATAGGTGTATTCATATGAGTAGGTACAATGGGCTTATCGGGAGTTAAAAATATAAAACATATAAAAATTAAAATAGCCAAACATATCTTTATTTCTTCAGTAAATTTTCTCTTCTAATAGCAAGGTGAAGAATATCTTCTTCGTCCTTGTCAGAGTCATCACTGATGTAATGAACCTCTATTTCTCTGGTAAAAATCAACCGGAAAGTTTTGTGTCTGAAGATCATTCTCATATTATGTCCTCATTGTCAGTTTGATAGTCAACCTCAGGAGAAATAACTACCACCTATACATCTTTACGAGAGGAACTTGCTAGTTCATTTAAAGCTAAAGCGATTGCTTTATAACTTTTTCATAAAATTCTTGAAAATCCATTCCAATACGACTGTTGACCCTTAAAAAATAAAAAAGCAAACATAATAACAACAATAATAAAAACAATTTTATACTGTATAAATAAACATTACCAGTACTTACCCTCAACAATAAAAACTTAAAAAAATGATAAATCACTTTAATTATCTAACAGAAATATGGAGATTAGCTTCTAATTACTGCCGCAAGCATATTCGCCGATCCTACTAAGCACGTACAGAATTGGCAAGTAAATACGGCCCTGGGATTGTTGATAAATACAGTAGTTCTCTGATAAATATAGCAAAGGGATATTATGATTTGGCGCCAAATACAATCTGGCTGTGCCACATTTGAGTTGTTTTCTGGGTTTCTAATGGGCTTTGTTTTGTCTGTTTAAAACCTTTAAGGTATACAGTTTTTTACTTAGAATTCAGTTTGAATGGATTAATTTTTTCCAAATGTATTTTTTTATAAGCAGAACAATTTGAAGGGAATAACATGTTCATTGTTACACATAAACTGTTTGATACTAATTCGAGACTAATCATGTGTAATACTGTTATTTTAGTTTAGCCATTCTGTTATACCGAAAAATGTCAAATTTGGAAAAATATAGTTAACCACTGGATTTTACAGGAAAACTATATGTACATGTTTTTTTTTTAGTTAAAAAATAAGTGCAAACAACCCCCTTGGTCTCAATAACAAAAAAGAAATAAAGTTTAGCCCGCTTAGTAAAACTGAAGAAGACTAGAAAGTTTTTAGATTTTAACATCTGAAGTGTATTTAAAAAAAAAATAGAGCATAGAATTGTGCAAGTCCCAAGTCTCTGATGCCTACAGTGCTAACAGCACTACAAGCGAGGTTCCTACAACATCTGCCGCTTCTCGCATTTCGACCGCCATCTTTTTCTGTCCATCCATTCGTCTTCTTTGATGGCTCTCTTTCATTATGTGCCGTACCATTTTCTTCCCAGGCAACTGAAGGCCTTCCCCTTCTTCTTCTTTGTTGTAGTATGTAATTTAAAGATTTCTTTGGCCATCTCTTTCATTCATTCGCTTCACGTGACCATACCAGACTAGTTGTCTCGTTTCAATTCTGTCTACAACTGGAATATACAGTATTTGTCCTCCTTCTAATATCTTCATTCCTGATATGATCTTTTTTGGATACACCACACGCTCTCCTTAGAAAATCCATTTCTGCCATTTCTATTATTTTTCTATCTTTTTTCGTGATCTGCCAAACTTCTTCCCCATAAGTCATAATAGGCTCTATACCAAGGTTCGATAGATTGTCAATTTTCGTTTCTTGTCTAATATCTTTAGACCATAGTAGAGAGTTTAGATGTTCTTACGCTTTTTTTTTCCCTGTTGCGTTCTGTTTTCGATGTTCTTTTGGTAGTGCCTTCTTTAGATATTATAGATCCGAGATATTTATATTCATTACATGTTTTCTGTGTTTCTAATCTCTGGATCTTCTTCATCATCTCCTATTTTAAGATACTCTGTCTTTGACATATTCAAACTGAGACCCCATTTTTCATATTCTTTCTTTAGTTTTCTAAACATGTAGTCCATGTCTTCCTCATCATTCGCTACGACTACCTGATCGTCTGCGAAAAATAAAGTTGTTAGACATTTACCACCGCCTATATCTATTCACATTCCGGATACTTGTTTCCTCCGCTGCTCTAGCGATGATTGAATATATATTTTAAATAGAGTCGGAGATAGACAACATCCTTGTTTAAGTCCCTCTGTTATTGGAAATGATTCATATATAAAGTTTCCTTCTTTAAACGACACTTCTTGCATTTTTGTATACATTTGCGATAGCATCCACATACTCTCTACTGAGACCTACATTCGTCAATGTTTTGAGACAGTTTTTCAAAGGTACCGTATCGTATGCCTTCTCCTAAATCTACAAACAATTAGTAGAATAGACTCCTTGCCTTCCGTATTTTTCGATTACCTGCCTGAGGAAAGAATATACCATCAGTGCACGAAATCCATTTTGTTCTTCTATATCTTCGTATTCTGATTCTATTCTTTCTTTTATTATTCGACCGTACAACCTCCCCACTGAGCTGATAAACACAGTTAGTCCCCTATAATTAGAGCATTTGCGTTTATCCCCTTTCTTGAATATTGAGCTGATGTAACCACATATCCAACATTTGTTTAATAGTTGAACCAACATCTCATGTAATATTTTTGATCCATACTTTAAACAACTCAATTGGCATGTCCTCCAGGTCCTGCTGCTTTACCGTTTTTTTCGATCTTTTTAGGGCATCGCTTAACTCTCCGGGTTGTTATCTCAATTATTTGTCTATATTAGGATATTTCTTCCATTTCGATCTCTTGGAATTTACTCCATTCTCTGTCAGTAAGACCTCATAATGGTATTTTCACTGTTTTAGATCTAAAACAGAAAATTTAACACAGGATAATTTCCCAAAAAAAAAGAACAATATCCAAAGAAATTAAAGGCATAATTTACGGTATCAATACTTTTAACAATATAAATTTAATTTAACCAATATAGTTGTAGTTATAAGATCCTTTAACGATAGCTATTCTGAACTTGACACATTGTATATCAGGAGATTTTGAATACAAATAACACTGAACAGAAATAAAACCATATACTTACGATATTACGAATATTTTGTAAAAAATATTGCTGCTAGATATAATACTCAATATCAGTTTATTTTAACTCTCATTAGAAAATGTACACATAAATAAAAATTTCGATTCCTAAACTGAGTTCACCTCTTGCCAACCCTTCTTCAATATTTATTATTTACCTTTTACTTTGTAATCAATAATTTTAGGCATGGAGCACAATCGTTGACGCTGAACAAATTCATTCCCGATATTGTTAATTTGTTGTCTGATCCCACTGCAACAGTTAGAGATACAGCTTTAAACACTTTGGTGGATCTGTATAAGCATGTTGGAGAAAAAATAAGGGTAGACTTACAAAGAAGAAATATCGTTCCCCAAACCAAGTGGCCGGTGCTCTCGGCGAAATTTGACGAGGCAAAAGCCAGAGGCGAACTCTTACCGTCGGCTTCCAAAGGAGTAGAATGTAAGTTGAGAATTATTTATCTTTTTTTAGCATAATTAGAATTATTGTTTTTAGTACTTTATAAGTTTACATATTTAGGGCCAATTGTTCGAACGCTAATTAATTAAAATCAAATACGTTACATTTTGGGGTTATGTTGAGTGATTTATTTTATTCATTTTTTTTATTTTGCGATATAATTTAAAATAAACCATAATTAAACTCTTTCTGATGTTAATTTTATGGTTTTATTTACAAATCAAGAATAATAAGCAATTTTTAAAATTTGTGACAGCTGCTGTGACGTATTTAATTGTGATTAAATATTTGATTACAATCAAGTTTTGATTAGCGTTCGAACAATCGACCCTCAATGCGTTAAAATTCTTTATAACTTTAAATTTAAATCAAAGCTACATTGGAAGAAAAGTTCTTCTAAGTAGGAATATTATCAGTAATCAGTAAAGGTTTTAAATTTGCGTTAAATCGACTAATCTGACAATTTCCATCGAATTATAGATAATGTTTCCTTGGAACAGATCCGTATCTACTAGTCCTTTTCTGAATTCTAAAAAATAAATAACAACGTTAAATACAACCATATCGTGAACCAAACTTTTTTTTATATTGCAAGAGCTAAGGCTCAAAACGTTACAACTTAAAACGGGAGGATTTTTAAAACAATTTCTTTCTTATACAAAGATTAATATCAAATTAACTAAAATAATGTAAAATTACTACAATTTGGAAGAATGTTCAACGCTAGCAGGTAGCCAGAAGTCGATTAACAGGCCAAGATTGATGTCACGAAAATCGGTGAACATGGGCGTAGTTGGCCAATGTATATTACACCTCCAGCCTTAGAATTAGGCATTTTTCATTGGTTGAAAAATTATCTCGGTTGCATATAACTTAGGGCTTCTTTAACTTCATCTTCTTGAAGTTGATTGGCATCAATAAAAATTATCCTGTATGTTTCAATCTGACAGCCATCCTTAAGAAACAAGGATGGCTGTCAGAATGAACATACATTGACCTTATGAGCAATGACCTTGAGTGAATTTACAAAACTAATGTCATCTGTATGATGTGATGAACACATAAAATTTAATTTAAAAACTTAATTTTTAGAAAGTCTTTGATGACAATTTAGAAATTCCAAACCATTAAAATAATTTTGTAAGAATTTAAAAAACAATCTCTATTTCCTATATATGACATTTGTCAACTGTCACTTTGAAAAATCGTTTAAAAGGACCGACAATTGATTTCATTAGTTCTATTCTGTCTACCTCCTCACATCAATCAATGGTCGGGTTCTTACACCCGTACCATGACAAAAAATTTTTTTCAATTTTTTTAAACGTGTTTGTGAAGTCCAGGTGTCGGCTTTTTATATGTTTTTTATATGTTTTAAGAATTTCAACAACTAAAAAAATCATAATTCTTGAAATATAAGGAAATGAGATCTCTCCTTTGTAGTGGTATTTAAAAAATTGACGTAAGTTAAAAAAATTATAATCTTTACCAATTAGTACTTATAAGTACATTTTATTGTAGCATAGCTCTGATGATGGCTTTGCAAAGCCGAAAGCGCTCAGCTAGGAATTGCCTAAAATATACACACATTCAATAAATACTTTTTTTACATATTCTTTACGAGTATTGTTTTTTGTTTTTGGTTTGTAACCAAAATTTATGATTTTTTTTTTAAATGTATTGTTTACAGACGAATCTACTTTTCACAATAATGTTCTAGTAAATAGACATAATTTTCGTTATTATGATACAGTAAACAAACATTTATTTAATACTGTTGATCGCCAACACCGATGGAGTATTAACTTTTGTATTTTGTTTATTTTTGGTTTTGTTATGTTTTCAGTATTTTTTACGGAAATTTCAATGGAATAAATATTTTAAATTTCTTAAAACAAGATTTTTGGATCCTTCTTTAAAACGTTCCACGTATGTACGGAGCTCATTTTTCACGTGATGTTAGAAACTACAATAACAGAAAATTTAGAAATAAATTAGGTAGAGTCTGTCTGTATAATTGACCACCTAGGTCACCGCGATTGACCAAGGTGAATTTCTTTAAATGGGTAAATGAGGCAACGAATGACCAATATGAACGATGATAAAGAGTCGTCTTATCGATGACTTTTTTTTAAATTTTGACACTATGTTTATTCAACTTAAAAGTAGGTTTTCTGATTTAAAGTATTTAGAGTGTTTGGCACCATATGATTTTAAAAATTACGCAAACAAATTCCCAGATAGCGCCTTTCATCAACTCGTCCAAGCTATATGGACAATAATTTGACACAGTAAAGTTAAAAACAGAATTGACAGTTCTTTATAATGATCCAGACTATATTAGAAAAAATGTACAAGAATTGTATCAATATTTAAAGTCTTAAGAGCTTGATAACGCATTTCCGAAAGCTTTTAAATTGGCAAATTTATTTTTAACAATTCCGGCTACAAGTACATCTGTTAAAAGGAGTTTTTCAGCAATTAAGCGGATTAAAACATGCCAAAGAAATACCCAATTGCAAGATCGAATGTCGACACATTCTTTAATTTCCATCGAGAACACTTTTTAAATGGAATAATGACAAATCCTTCTTTCTACGATTCTATTATTAACATTTTTGTAAATAAAGTAAATCGCCGAATTGAATTAAAATATAAACAATAGTTTTCAAAAATAAGTTTTTCTTTTCCTACTCGTTCGTTTTTCCCCCAGTACAGTACATAAAATAATATAAAATACCTAAAGTAAAGAAAAACTTATATTTGGGAGGTTCAAAATATTTTTTTAATATGATTTTTTACATCTGGTTTTGTGAAACGATGATTTTTTACATCTGTGAAAAGATGTTAATACTCAATTATGGAATATATTTAACAAATTTCCAACCATAAGAAAATTTGGTATAATCGCTTTAATAAATTGAGAATGAGTCTTCTTTCAAACCTTTTAATTTTAGGAAAACACTGTCATGTAGAAATAATTGCAAATTTCTACTTTAAATAAAGTATAAAATGGTGCATAAATATTATACGAGAAGGACTATTCATATCACATCAAACCAGCCATTCTTTGACACGTGTTTGGCTATTTTTAGCTCGTCAGATTGACCTGCTAAGTCTATCTGATGTATATCACCCTTTGTATAACAGTGGGTAATGCCACTGTGGTAATGTGAGGAGTGGTACCATCGGAACGGTTTATAGAAAATGATTTATTTCAAATTGTCAAAAATTACATTTTTTAAAGCAGAAAACTTTGCAGTATAAAATCGTAATATGAAATATAGATGTATGAAACTAATAATGAAAAAGAAGCAGATATTATGTTGGAAAAATTATTACTCACTATATTGTGTTTATGTTTATCATTAAGTTTATTTACTTGTTTATTTTTTTTTGTACTTGTACCGGGAGTGGTGTCCAAATCTAGATCCAAATCCATACTATTTTCCTAAATTGACTACATACAGTTTTTTCCTCTATCAGATGACTCTGATGAAATGTTGATACATGTCTTGTTTTTATCGCCCATTAATATTTTAATATAATACCGATATTAGTTACCACTCCAATATCACGTCCTATTCGTTTGAACGCTAAACTCAAGGGTCAAAATTTAAAAACAATATTAATTATACTTCTGAAAGACTTGTTTCCTATATTAATATTTATTTTGAATTACATTTATAGTGTTGGCTTTTGTATATAATAATATAAAAATGATTTTTTTTATAGTAAACTCTGATGAAACTGACAGAGCTGTGATGGCCAAACCAATTGTTCCGACGAAGAGGCATTTAGTGGGTAGCGCCGTTAATAAACGGTCGACCTTCGCCCCCTCCAGCGCAAACTCCGGCGGTCCAGGTAACAATTCTTCCCAATCGAAACTTGAAATATATGTACATACATAGATTCGCTTATTTTTCTATTTGCTTTAATTTATGTTTATTTATTTATTTTTTCTTTTTCATACTCTGCCTTAATTTGTGCATGAAAGTTTTCAGCCGAATTGGTTCCTTCCGAAACTCTACTACGGCCTCAAGTAAGTTGGTACTGGTTAGAATTCTGGTGGTGGTGATACTCCTGTGTTTTAAAAATGTTTGTATTTATGATTTTCGGAAAATGTAATAATATAAATTTGAACCAGAAGTAGATCTCTACACTTCGACAAGGTTCTTCCAAATTAATATAGTTTTGGTATGAGTTAAAATCTTCAAAATAGTGTCTATGAATGAATAACAATATACCTTGCATGTTTTAAATAACACTGTTATAGAAAAAGCTGTTTGTTTGGTAAACCACCAAGAGTTCAGTTGAATTGCCTTGAATGTGGGCTATGTTCAAAGATCTCTAAATTCTAGTGCTATTAGCATTGAAGAGAATCATGTATTGGCTTTGTTTGATCGTCGTCTTTTAGATTGTCTCTTGTGAGTGATTTCCGGGGCTCTCTACATACAAACCAGCTGTTACATGCAAGTATACCTTCGTGGTAAGCACCTTTGTACCTTTTTTGATTACTGAAATATCGCGATGGAATCTTTCACCATGCTCATGATTTTTATCCCCACAACTGGAGAAAGTGGATTTTAAGAGACATCAGGTTTGTTAGATTATTTTCGGCAACACTTTCACTAAATGTAGTTTTACATTTCCTTTGTTGTCTAAAAATCCACGAATCACTGCCAAGCTTATTTTTCTTTGCTTTTCAAGGCCCTGTTTGAAAATATCGTATCTAATTTTAGCTTCGCCTAATGAAGGAAATGTTTCTGTTTGGTATTTAGAGGCTTGTTCTTCTTGGTCCATTCCTTTGTCAAATTTTTTTATCAAACGTAGCTTAACACGTAAGGGTGGAAAGAAAATATCTTTTGGGTCCATAGCAACTCAGCAACATCATTGTTTTCGTTAAGAGTATTTCGTAGTGTCTAGAGCCGTATGCTGTTTGGGCGCAGTTACTCTATGATTAAAATTAATTGAGTGTTTTGCCTCTCTAAATATCCCTGAGTAGTAATGTAAAATTTCGCTAAGTATCCTTGTTTCTTCGAATAAAATTTTATGGTTGTCTTGTGTGATGCTATTTTCACAACAGCTCATTTTTCGCAATAATCAATGAGGTGTGCGTTGATTTTCTCTGGGCCTTGTTTAAAGCTATTTTAGCCTCTTCAAGGAATGGATATGTTAATAGGGGGATACTGATTTTCCGTAAATGACATCAGACGGAAGCCGGTGCCAAGCACAGGGAACGATTGTGCCGATGGTATTTGCTATAATCCGATCTCGATAAAAGGTCCTTTAAGCTATGGGCACGATTGCACCGGCAGCAGATTTAATCCTTACAGCACGATTATTATTTACTTACTTACAGCTTTAATCTAATTAATTAGGTGTACATATCTCAAACAATAGTTAAAAATGCTTTATACTTAGTAAATATAAGTCCTTAAGTGTGTATTCTTCAAATAAATCCTTATATTTTATTGCCATGTTTAATTATATAACCTAACGTATTTCGTCTATTATCTCAGGAAAACCATATCCAGGGAGTAGGGACCATCTGAGTTAGTCCGGCGGAATCGTATACTCGGAACGTACTTTAGGTAAAATCGGTGCAATCATCCCATACCCGGGGCCAAAGTCGAGAGCAGGTGGCAGTTTTCGTCGATCGGCTCCTGATGAGTGTTGGAGAACATCTGCATCGTGGATTTCTGCGAGACCGTCGATCGATTCCTTTCAGAATGATTTGGGCTTTCTTTAGTAAATCGCGTGGAGGTTAGCTGTGGCTAGGTTAGGTTAGGTATCTTTGTGCAACGAGATTGGAAACCCCAGAAAACCAATCTTCCCCTGTCCTTTGAGTGTTTGTTAGAATCATCCCTGAAGGAGTTAGTCGAGGGCGCCGACTTTCCAACTTGAGAATGTATGGTTTATTATATTATTTAAGGATGCCCAGCGACGGGCGTCGTCGTTCTTTTTTTAAGGGAGTACGTTGAAGTGAATAAACATGAAGTGAATTATCGACTTCATGTTTGCTTGTGTTTGTATTTGTGTTACGCATGAGTCTGTAAAGACTCGTAGGTCTTTAAAGTCGGTAGGGATAATATTTGAACGGGCAATTATTTTTCGACTTTTTAATTGAAAATTGCCTTCAGACAAGTCTTCAATGTCTTCTTGCTAGAGATCTTTCTTCGCACCGATCATGACAAACTGTAGATTTGTTTGAATTTTATTGGTGGAGTGGCTAGAATTTTGCGAGATTATCTAGGAATATCTGGGGCTAATGGTGATTGTGTTATCATCACTGCCCATTTTGCTGACGGATAGACTTTTAGTAAGGCTATATTATTAGGCAGGAGTTCGTTGGATTTTAAGGAGAGTAGAATTTCCTTTGCTGGCAAATGCTGTTGTCAACATAGTAGCCAAGAATATAGTTCCTTTTATGTTCAGTCAAACAATAATTGTCCAAATTTTAGTTGTTCAAATGTACACGGAACCGCAGATACAGGGAATATGATAAATTCTTGGATCTTTAGCTGATAGAGCTTTATGTATCATCTGCTTTAGTTTAAGTATCGATTTGACATCAAGTTTTATCGATTCGATCTTTTCTATATACTAGGGTGCATTTGGGTGAATTCTATGCAGTTTTCGTACATATAAATCTACCGAAAAGTTGTTCAAAATTAAATTTCATATCCAAATGTCACCTTTTAAAGTTAAAATTTTTTTTTTACAAAAATATATTCAAAAAACGTAACAAAAAAAAACAAGAACACAAGCGGTTTTAATGTTTGCCCCATAACTTTATTCTCGGGGGTATGAGTATAGACATTGCTGTACAGAAAAAAAACTTTTATCCTTTCTCTTCAAAATGACATTTAGTAGAAGTCTTTAGGATTCAGAGTATCCGAGATACGATTTTTCAAAGTTTGCCACTAACACAGTTGTTTCGTAATTTTTCGTATTTTTCTCTTTTCACTTCTCATTTTTTGATATTGTTGTTGATATTTTTGGACTCCTATACTGCTTGATGTATCTTAAAGCATAACCTTGGTGATCTGTTTTTATGATTACTCTTTAAATAAATGTTTAAACGGTCCGTATGTGTGTGTTAGTTTTCGATATACTTTATGTCGTATCTGTTTTCGTTGTATCAAAACCTAAAAGGACGGACTTTGACAAACAAACTAATGGAGAGTCGATGAAAACTCCGTTGAGTTCGATTCTGTCAAACGTTTTCATGAAAAATTGAATAAGGTCATCTTTATGTTGATAGTAATTGAAGGTTTATGAACAGAATTTGGTCCGTTGTCTTATCAGACATAAAATAGTATAATTACAAAAACTCTTGATGAACAGAACTACATTTTATAGAATAGCATTGTCAATACTATACAGTTAATATTTACCTTTTAAAGATGCGTTATTTTTTTTATTAATATTGTATATAATGTAGTACTGTCGCGTTCCTGCATTATGTAAATAGTAAGTACTATCCTGTATCAATTGTTACTAACATAATTATTGTACCTTTTTTGTATAAAAATTCATGATATGCTGTTTACTGCAACTAACGCTATGTTTTTATTTTATTTACTTGCAACTTTATAATCTTAATTTTAGTTCTTCTGCTACTAATGCTTTCAAGTTCTTAAAACAACTGTTTAGCTATGGTCATCTATTCTCGTTGCTAATATGAAACAAAACATGTTTAAAGTAAATGTATAATTGAATGCCACAAAAGTGGTATTGTACATTTTTGATTAATAAAAGTCTATTTTCTCATGCAAATATCTTCTTCAGCACATGTTCGTCCACTGCTATACATAGGCCCCTTCCATTTGTTTCCATTCATGTCTACTCTTACCAATTCTCATCCTTTGTTTAACCACGATAAGTTTGATATCTATCATTCGTCCACTTCTTCTGGGGTCTGCCCACTCCTCCTGTTTTCTGTTGGTCCCCAGTTTGTTATTTTCTGCGTCCATTCTTAGGGTTATCTCAAGTAAAATACCCAACCTATTGCCACTTGAACCTCACTATACATTCTACGACATCAATAATTTTTGTTGTCACGACTGTCGGTATTCCATATTGTATCCCTCAACTGATCCCGAGCATGGCTCTCTCCATATCTTTTTGAGTTGTATTAACCCTCTATAGCCCCGTATGTACTCAAGGCAACAAAGTACTTTTAAATGCAGAAAACCTTTTTAAAACAATTTCCGACTCTAAGATGCCCTCTGTTGATTTCAGGCAACATTTGTTTATACATTTTAATACACTTAGTGCCATCTATGAACCTATGGCGAAACCTATATGGAAATTTTTAACAGTATGTCAAATGCACATGGCTGCCTTATTAGTTTGTATTTTCGATCGTGATTTATTGTTATAAATTGTGTACAATTTATATAAAAATACATAGAGGCATTATATCAGCATTTAGATATTGATTGCCGTTGAAATTTGTATATTTTATTGTGTTGTTTCAGTACTGTGATAAAAAACAGGTATGTTGCTTTGAATCCACATATGGTCCAGATATCATTTTAAATTATTTTTTTGGGATGGATACAAAAAGGTTCTACGGGAAAAGCAGTAAATATCCGTTATTGTTTTTAAAAGTTCCCTACAAATCCGAGGAATCCGAAGACTCTGACTTTGAAGAGCGTGATAATGAATTTTCCATAGGTACTCAGACATCAATCGATCCAGGATCAATGAAATGGAAAATGAAGACGATTTGTACGAAGCAAATTTAGACCAGGATACCAATTTAGATTAGACCAAGACGAAGATGAGGATGACACCGATAAAACAGAAAAACACACAGAACAAATGTGTTAAAAAGTTCAAAATGATCTAAAAAAAACATTCAGTGGAAGAGTGGTCCCCGAACAGTTTTTCTAATTCCGAATGGAAAGGTAATTTACCGACATGCAAATTCTTAGAACCGGAATCCCTCTACATTATTTTAAAAAGGTGATATCTACCAATATGCTGGAAAACATAGTAGAACAAAGTAATTTGTATGCACTGCAAAAGAATATAAATAAACCATTGAAATAACGAAAATATGGTCAACAATAATGATAAGTTATACAAAATTAGACCATTCATCAACGGTCTAGTTCAAAATTTTTAGAGTATTCCAATGAGTAAAAAATTGTGTATTGATGAACAAATGACACCATTCAACGGAGCACATTCTTTAAAACAATATATGAAGAACAAACCCAAAAAATGGGGATACAAGACGTTTGTTTTGTGTGATAACAATGGTATTGTTTATAACTGGAATTATACACAGGAACTGTTGAACATCCTCTTCATTTACTTAATGTAGGCACCAGCGGTAATGTAGTAATAAGATTGTGTGAGATAGTCGAACCAAACAAATACTATAAAGTATATTTTGACAACTGGTTCAATAGCATTCAGTTGCAGATTGAAATGAAAAAAACGTGGACTGCAATGTTTGGGAACTGTTCGTCTAAACAGATTACCTAATTGCCATTTTTCTGATGACAAGAATATGAAGAAACTGGGCAGAGGTACTGTAGAAGAAAAGCACGCTAGAGTAGATGGCATAAGACTAACAGCGTATAAAGTGGTACGATAATAAACCGGTTCATTTGCTTAGTACATTTGTTGGTTCTGAGCCAACATGGTAGGTGTCAAAAATCAAGAATTTATGTATGCTGTCCAAATACAGTGCAATTTCATAATAAATTTATGGGAGGTGTCGATCTTATGGATTCAACTAAATTGATCTTTACCGAACAGACATAAGATCTAAAAAGTGCTATCTAAAAATATTTTTTCACCTTCTGGATTTAGCTGTTGTTGTATCGTCGTGATTGCGATTACTTTGAAATTGAAAAGAAAAACCAGTTGTCTTTGTTACAGTTTAAGTCCCACTTATGTATCGTACTGCTAGCAAGAACTGACCAGATCAAAAACAAAGGACATCCCAGGCTCAGTGAAATTGAGAACGAAATTGTAAAAAAAAACAGAAGAGAGGACCTACTGCTATTGTACCACCAAAGGAAGTTAGGCTTGACCAAACCTCGCACTGGCCAGTATTTTCTGAAAAAAAAAGGGAAGATGCAAAAAACCAGGATGCTGTAATACTCCTTAAGTAATGTGCGATAAATGTAAAGTTGCTTTATGTTTTACAACTACAAATAATTGTTTTTTTTTTAATTGGCGTAATAAATAAGTATATAACTTAATTCGTTAGTTTTTGCTGCCCACAGTTGCCTGAGGGCAACACTCCCAAAACTTTTCCCAAACAAAATTTAAAAAATCTAAAAAAATTACTAGTTAAAACATTTTCTTTTAAGTTTACAAAAAAGTCGGGCAATAGAGGGTTAAGTTATTTTGTTGTCTGGCTATGGTCTAAAATCCGTATGTATTCACTGTTAAGATACACGGCCATATACTCTACGCTTTAGTGGATTGTTCGTGTATAATCTTTAGGATATCTGTTATCTTCCGTCATAATATATCTTGGACTTTGTTGCTGATTTCTGGGATAGTGGCGATTTTTGAGACACATTGACGTTCACCATCGACACAATCTTACTATGCATATTCAGCATATATCATATAACATTCATATAACAAGCAAATTCAGCTTTTCAAAACCGAAATGTTATTAATGATGGTATATATTAGCATTAAAGAACATCCAGATACTTTTCCTTTTTTAGTGAAGGTACTCAATCACTGAATGCTATTCCGTTTTTTTTTGTAATTTTCTAAAAACGATAGTTGCTTCCATTCGCTGACTATTAAAACCATTTTTTTTGTCATTCTGCACCGTCGTCTAAGTAGTCTGTACTACACCGGCAGTACTGTAGTCAATTGGTTTATTATATATCTTCTTTTAACTATTAGAAAGATGTATAGTACAAACCTCAACAGATCTGCTATATAATAAGCTCTCCGCCAGTACCCAAAATAAGTTTTGCAGAAAAGCTTCCATACTGTGCTGAAAGTTCGTTCCTCGCTGCTCGTCAAGGTCTTGGTAGTGCACCCATACTGTGCCAAGGCTATTATATCCACCAGATTTTGTCAGCTCTCTGGAATATCACTTCTTAACAATCTTAATATACGATGTGTGCCCGTGTGGTGCAACTGTGTAGTGTTTATTTGGTTATACTCTTTCCTATGTCCTATATATCCATAGGGCATTCCCAGTCAACCACTGGGATGGCTTTGTGTTTGAAATAAGAACTATCTACCCAGTTTGACCGCGTAAAGTACTGGCGAACTCAGACACACAATCTCAGACTGGTTTGGCCTATTATTGCTTAAAATTTTGACCGACATCATGCAATGTGTAGTAAATGACAATACTAATTCGTTATAACGTAACGAGATCCAACCAAGACTAGATATAGTCCTCATTATAGATTAACTAAACTTTTTATATAATTTGCTGTAAAAAACTAATAACATAAATATTCATAAGTTATCGTATCAGCCGTAATTCATTTTATAAACGTCTTGTACATGCGGATTTAAATATCTTAAATATGATCATGAGTTAAAAACATTGTAAAATTATAAATTTTGTATTGAGTTTGATTTTGTATTGAACGATTTGATAATTTTTGTATGTATATTTTTTAGCGGGTGCTATGGATGAGGAATCTTTTATAAAAAGTTTCGAAGACTGCCCGACTGTACAGATTTTTTCTTCGCGGGAAGTTTCAGAACATTTGAAGAATATTCAAGATACCATCTCCGATCCTAATAAAGAATGGAACAAGAGGGTGGAAGCTGTAAGTTTGTTTTAATTTATGTTTAGCCTTTCTTTATCTTACTAGAGATAAGGTTATTTAGCCTTTTAAAAAAAATGTTCAAAGTTGACAAAATAGGCATCTTTTTGAATGATCTTCTATGTGAATTGTCATCCGTCGATCCTTATTTTCAAGTTTGGAGATAAAAAACATTTGAGTCAAATTAAGTGAATAAAACTTTTTAGTCAAATTTTAATTCCCTAATTTTAGTCATTGAAACTGCAAAGCTATTTACGTTTATATTTCCCAATTTTTTTGCGTAGCAGTTATAATATCGGTTCATAATAAATCCTAGTGAATATTTTCCACTTTTGCATCAACCGAATTGGAAGCTCGTTTGTATTCAAAAGTCCTCTGTTTTGATTGTTCCTTTGTTTTAGGAGTCTCTCCAAGTCCCCTCCACGTCGCTTCTTTTGAACGGTTATACTTATAATAGTGAAATTTGGAGAGAGGAAATAGACGGACGTAGACTTCTCAACTAGTCATAGCAGGTGACGTAATAGTGATAGGTGACATTACGTAGCTGCTGTGACCGATAATTTTAAATGGGACCTTATGGCAAATGATATCTCGATGAAAGGTATTAAAGATACCTATTCAATCATACTAATTTTGTTTGGGTTTAAGCTGATTTTAAAGATTCTGGGCCTCTGGTTATTCCTCAGAATGGTTTTTACTATAGCCTACAAAGTAGCAAGCTACTTTAATAATTGATGATAACAATTTCCATGCAGCAGAACGTCGTTTTAACGAGAGGTACTCTGATCGCCCTATATCGAAGATTTATGTAAGGGAGCTTGTTCGGAAGTTTGAAAAAACAGGTAGTGTTCAAGATGCCAAATGATCTGATCAACCAAACAATTAGTGATGACAAAAAAATTGACATAATGCAGAAATGGTAGTGAGCCCTACTTCTTCTACAGCTCAAGTTGCGTCTATCAGTGGAATCAGTAAAGGACAGTACACCGAGTGTTGGTTAAGAACAAATTTCATCCATACTAATTAAAAATTGTGCACCAACTTTCAGATCCGACCGAAGACTAGAATTCTGTAAAAATATGTTCAATCAAATTAACCAACAGCCAAATTACATAAAAACAATTTGTTTTAATGGCGAAAAGACTTTTTCCCTTAATGAAAATGTTAACACAGAATGTGAGGTATGGGAGTGACACAAATCCTCACTTCTTTTGTCTCAATGCTAATGTAACCGGTGAAGTGTATCTGGTGATGCTACAAAACGCAATTGAGTGGGGACTTTTACTAGCACTATATATCTACACTCAAACTTACACCAAAACATCCTGAATCTCGACCATATTAATGCATTCTACTCTACTTAGAGTAGATACAATCCTACTGTTACGTCCCAGAAGGTTTCGTACCGCACAACCACTGAATGGATTTCATACAATGGGTTTAGGTTATGCAACTAACGAGAGAGGTTGAAAGATCAGTTTTCGGCGCCGATAAAATAACTGGAACATATCGTCCAAGAGATTGTAAATCTTACTGATAATCAGGTAGTTTAGAAGTGCTGAGATGGCATCCCACCGTTCGACTTACCTAGCTACAGATTGGTAGAGAAGTAACCGAAGCTAGTAGAATGGATATAGTATTCAATGCGCGAAAGAAGGAACTGAACAGGATGATCCGAACCGAGAAGAAGAGGCACTGGAGAGAACTGAGTGACAAGTTGGATGAGGACGATGGATGGGGTTAGGGTACAAAATCGCAATGAACCATTTCAAGCGATATCCTCTGTATGAAATGCCACTGGACAGGAAGCTTGAGGTTCCCCGAGAGTTGTTTCCACTCGTCCATTGACATGGAGTGCAGTGGAAGGCCGAAGCTGAGCGAGCTGTACTTTTTACCGTAGAAGAACTCAATGAAGCGTTGAGTACCCTAAAAAACACGAAAGGCTTCGGGTCTCGACGGAATACCACCATGCATTGGCAGTATGGAGCCGACGTGGCTTTTGGAACACATGAATGTATTGCTTGAAACTCGGCAATTTCCGGCAAATTGGAAGATCTCGAGGCTCGTGCTACTCCCAAAGGGGGAATACAAGTATTGACCTGTTTGCTTTCTGTCGTGCATAGGTAAATTATACGAGAGGCTTCTAAAGGCCGATTCAGACACATTAGTCCCGTAACAGTCTCAGCGCCGAACCGGTCCTGTTTGGTCACAGAACTATCAACTATCTGACAGCTGGAAAACTGTTCGTCGCCTGATGAATGTGAATGCCGGCGCCATATTTCTATTAAAGAATATTTTGTATGACGGATTGTTCGGTTCGGCGCCAGGACTGTGACGAGACGTGACTGATGTGTCTGAATCGACCTTAAGAGGGCGAATGGACACAGTGATTGAAGAGTCAGGCGGGCTATCACCCAGATAGTACGGTTTCAGAAAGAGCAAAAGCACTGTAGATGCGCTAATGGAAGTCTTTCAGGAGTTGCGCGGGGTGGAGGTAAACCAGAGGTGGGGTTGACGTCCGGAATTCTTTCAACGCATTACAATGGAAAGAGGTAATGAAGACACGGATACCTTCCGTCTACGAGAGAGAAGGTGTCCGAGATACTTGATGAATTTGGTCGGAAAATTGGGGAAAATTTCTCCCTCTGGAAAACAGAAGGGGCGAAGAATTCAGTCGTAGTGAGAAAGTGTAAAGAGTGCGTGAGAATTGTGCGTGAATGAGAGATCGGGTGAATGTCGGTGCTAATGTGTGCCGTCCCAATCAGGGCGATCTTGCCGGTAATACACCGCTGGGGAAGGTGTTTTAGCAGGTAGGTCTCTGGCAATGACGCCGATGGTGTCCGAACAACCCGTGCGCTCGGTCTCGGTTATCTTTACTACACTGGAGGAATTCTGCATAATCGAAGGCGGTTCTACCCACCTTCTAGGGCCGAGATATGTGTCGATCATTTGGACCACCCCCCTCATAAAAGACAAAAAAAAAAACATTTTTTTTAACAAAAATAACAATTTTTGTAGACGAAACTTTCAGGTTTGCCATTTGTAGATCGACCTTTTTGTCATAAATGTTTCATTGATGTGAAATGTATTAAAACGCTTTCGTGTTTCAATCTGTTTATATATACCGACCGTTTTTGTAGTTTTGTTCCTAAAATTCTTAATTGAATTTATAATTTATAGTTAATGTTTTGTAATTTAGCAAAAAACTGTTTATTGACATTTTTTATTTTGTTTCAGTTAAAGAAAATCAGATCTCTAGTCATTGCGGGAGCGACCAGTCACGAAGAATTCCACGTAGGTTTAAAAAATTTAGAAATACCATTGCAAGGCACGTTGAAAGACCTCCGGTCACAAGTCGTACGAGAGGCGTGTGTTACCATTTCGTATCTGTCCACGCTTTTAGGAAACAAATTTGACAAAACTGCAGAGTTTCTGCTACAGCATTTAATAAATTTAATACAGAATTCAGCTAAGGTAAGAATTAGATATATAGATATAATCCTGTGCTGTTGCGGAATCTGGTTATACTCTTTTTCAGCCATTATTATTGCATGAATATCATAGCAAATAATGTTTGCTCAGGTGCTCTTAAATTTATATCTTAAGAGAGAATTATTTAAATAATGGATGGACTATCTGGTATGTTGCAAAAAGTGCCAATATTATTTGTATATGATCTGCGAAAACAACAATCCTTGTACCGGCATGTAAGTATGATTTATATACTTCCTCAGATCATACATAAGTAATATTGGCACTTTTGGCAGCATACCTGAAAGAACTCAATCCGGTCGTCCTATGCTAAATAAAATAGATTGTGAAGTCCAAAATTTCTTTCTACAACTCTGTTAGAGAATTATTTATTATTTTATCCATAATTATATTAAATACACTTATAGACTGTCGATTCTAGAAAGCAAGCAAAAATAATTTAAAAGTTAGAACATAAATACAGCTACATTTGTATTCTGTACTAATCGCTGTATATAAAGTTGTTTGAACTATTATTTTTCTGTTCTAGGTGATGGCGACTTCTGGTCAAATCACAGTGAAATTTATAATTCAAAATATTTCTAGTGCTAGATTAATTCCAATAATAACGAGTAATTCGACAAAGTCCAAAAGTAAGGACATTCGAAGAGCGTGTTGTGAATTTTTAGAAATGATATTAACGCAATGGCCCAAACAGCCATTAGAAAGACAAATTCCAGCATTGCAAGAGGCTGTTAAAACAGGAGTCGCTGATGCTGATCCTGATGCACGTGTTAGTTCCAGAAAGTAAGTAATTCCTAAGATGTTCGTTACGTAATAATGAATAATTTTTGTTCATGGCGTTATGGGAATACTGCCGTGATAAGGTAAAAAGCAGTAAGTGCCAAAATAATGGTTTTGAGCTATATGCAATTTAGGATTTTATCTTCCACACAGTTTATTATTTATTTAATTTTAAGCAGAAAAACGTTAAAACATATTAAAAAATATGTCTTAATTTTTAACAAACAAAACAATTGTGTTACTTGGTTTTTGGGCTGAAAATTCAGCAGTTACTGCTATTTACCATAATCAAGTTGTTTTCTTAGGGAGTAAAAATGTAGAATTTTCAGCTTTAAGTAAATATTGGTTTGAAAATAAAACCAAAATGCAGAATAGAGCGTTAGTATAATCAAATTAAAAATAAAAATGTAATTCACATTAATGGAAAAGAAAAAAAATCGTAATTAATTACATAATATTGAAAAAACTATTCGAAATTGATTAAGTCTTCTACATCATACATCATACACTAAATATTTACCCCGTGAGGTTTTTTAAATAAAACAATTTATTATAAACAGTTTTGGTGCACTTCACAAAATACAACACCTTACATACACTCCAAACGGTAGACTAAACAAGTATAAGTACGGTCTGAAAACTGCAAATGAAATCTTTCTGCGTTATGCCATTTGTTTATTTTAACGGATATTAAATCAGGTGATGTTTAAGAAAATGGGAGTAATTGAGAAGATACTGCCTATGTCATGATATTATAATACAAACTTAGAATACAAAATAGCAGTATCTACTTTACTAAGTAGATACTGCCGTTTACATTCACATTAAAAATTGTGTTCCAGGTCTCTGTGTAGGCAAACAGCAGTAATTAGTTATTACGTTAGATACTGTCTGTTACCATCACATTGAGAGATATTTTGTTAGTTACTGCTTCTTGCCATTGCTATTTCTGGTGTAAATTGACTATCAATGTGCACCAAACCCTTTGTAAAAGCAAGAGCAGTTACTACTTAGGTAGGCTACATTAAAATCTCATTTTTAACAAAAATGTCACTTACTGCCTTTTACCTTAAAACGGCAGAATAAGACAACTGTCAAATAATTAATAAAGTCGAGTGATCTTTATTGTCAAGTTATTTTAGCAATATTGGTTGTTGCATATGACAAAATTAAAGAAAACGTAAAAGATCGCAATGCTTTATTAAAATATTTCTAGTTTTGAAGTAGATCGAGATATTAAAATGAATGACAAACAATTTAAAGGAAATGGCTCAAGCTTTTGTACATAATAGGTTTCAGTGACATCCAAAAGTTATATTTTACCACAGTGTGTCAATATAATTTATGGATACATAATTTGGTTTTTCCTCGTATAATTTGTATAAAGCTGATCTTATTCGGAAATCTAAGTCCGAACTAAGTGGAATCAGTTTGAGATTATTCTGATTCTGCTTGTTTAAGAAATTATTAAATTTGGACCATAAATAAAAACGTTATTTAAGATTAAACTTTGTTAACATTTTAAACGGCCATTTTGAGTTGATTGGCTTTTAGAATAGATCGTTTAAAAATCGTAAGCTTTTTTTAATAATTGTATTTTAATGAAAAATCTTTATTGCAGAGCATTTAAAGGATTCAAAGAACATTTCCCTGATCATGCGGAACATTTAATTCAATCTCTGGATCCGAGCTATAGAAAAGCACTTCAAGGAGAGGGAATGTCTGCAAGTTCGTCACAGAACAATCTTGCCAGTGGATTCAAAACGCCCAAGATGTATGGTAGATCCACAGCTGCTAGTACAACAGGTAAAAATTCTTCAGAATAATGTAACGTCTTAAGTATGGTATATAATTATCATGAAAATGTAAATATAAACTGTAATATTAACAAAAAATTCTTCTTACTTTGTTTATAAAATAATAGAGAATATTTGGGATTTGTCATGTTTTTTTTTAATGGTCTCTTGCCTATAACAATTTATTAGCGTAATATGTTTCTCCATGCTGCTTTTGGCTGAAAACAGGAAGTACAGATAATTTGGCTGCAACTGGCAGTCTTCTGCAAAGAGTTCCTTCGTTGCCTCGTAGCTACAGACAACGAAGCGGCATACCTGTTCTTACTAGAGACAGTATGTATCATATTTTAAAAAATTAGTGTTTTTTAATCTGTGCATACTAGTTATTTGAACTGTATTAATACGTGTTATTACTTTTTAGATTCGGGAAAAAAGGGATTCAGAAGTAATTCTGCGATTGATCTGCAAGCAGCGCAGCGAGCTAAAGCTAGAGCGCAATATTCTGCGATGGCCAGAACGAAGATTCAATTCGGCACCGCCAGTCTACGTAAGTTTGTGGAAGTTGCCTTCTTGCATGGTGTAATTGATGCTCAGTATATTTTTTGAAATTAATCCAATAACTTGTTAGCTTTTTATTATTAGTATATTAAAGCATATACCCTGAATAGTGTTATGTGAGTGTGTTTGTAGTAAACATATTTTTTAATAATTATTCATCTTCTGGCCGTGGATCATGTTTTGTTTCGATACGATTGTGAGTTCATTTCAACAGTTCGCTACATGTACAATATGCATCCAAATAATTTTAATCGGATAGAAGAAGGACTAACAATTAACAAAACATGGGTACTGATATTACAATTCACAAACACGCAAATCACGAAAAAAGAAAAGCTACAAACGACGACACGCCCCCTCTGGCCAAAACCAGTGGAGGAGTGGCGAGTAGAAAATATAAATATGACCTCCGTAGTACAACGCGGCGTCAGTTTCAGCTTACAATCGAAGCAGTAACATCTCCAGAAGATGCCAAACTCCTAGTGTTGGCGAAAAGTCGAAAACGAATCTCAGAAGACAAGGCCCTAACAGCCCGAACAAACAGTTTAAAAATCAGTAAAAGGACAAAAAAAGCATTATAGACTGTAATAAGTAGACAAAATGTTGATGAAGTGACCATTATTTTGTGAAGGCAAAAATAATGACGCCAATAACTAGTAAACAATGTAAAACAGAAACAACTGACAAAGAAGCCATTACAAAGAGCTAAGAGATAGTAGATCCAATATAAAAAACTTGGAACAAGAAAGCATACTGAAATTATACCAAAAACAGGTTAGATGATAAATTAAATAGAAAATAATTTGGAATAATAGAAGAACAATGCGAATACATCAAGAATTGCACACATGCGCCAATAACTAGTAAACAATGTAAAACAGAAACAACTGACAAAGAAGCCATTACAAAGAGCTAAGAGATAGTAGATCCAATATAAAAAACTTAGAACAAGAAAGCATACTGAAATTATACCAAAAACAGGTTAGATGATAAATTAAATAGAAAATAATTTGGAATAATAGAAGAACAATGCGAATACATCAAGAATTGCACACATGCAGCAGCAGACGTATTTTGAAAATATCATGGATGGATCGCAAAACAAACGAACAAGTTTTTGAACAACTAGGAAAACAATGCGAAGTTGTAAATTCCATAAGAATCAGGAAATTGGAATACTTGGGGCACATCATGAGAGGTGAAAAATACGAACTACTGAGGAATGCAGGGTAAAATCAAAGGCAGAAGAAGCGTAGAAAGACGTAAAATCTCGTGGCTACTCAATCTCCGTGAATGGTTTGGATGCAGTTCAATTGAACTATTCAGTCACGTAACCAACAAAATTATAATTGCCATAATGATTCCCAATCTCCGATAGGAGTGGAACTTGAAGAAGAAGAAGTAGCAGAAAAACCGTAGGTGAAATGGAAAACAAAAAAAATACCAATAATCCTTTTGGTGAAAAAAAAAATAAAAAGAAAATTTGTTTTCTTTTTGTTTTATTTTTTTGACTTTTATGTTCGTTTTCCTTATGTTTGTGTATCTTTATGGTTCAAACATATACTATTCCAAATGTGAATGGTATTCAGTATACTCTGGTAGTTGCTAACGGATCGCGTTTGTCCTTCACCGATCCTAAACAGTCCTTGATTTTCTTTGTTGACTTGAAAATGGTCTTTACATTGGCTTTTTTAAATATTCGCCCAATTCTGTCTGTTACCCCCGCTATATAGGGCAAGAACGCCTTGTCTATACACGCTGTTTCTTCGCCTTTTCTTCTAGAAACGTTGTTAACAAACAGTTTAACAAGTTAGACGATTGTTGTAAAAGCCTAACGAACTCTTACTGGTTTTTTCTATGTATACCTGTGTATTTCTCTATGTTTGAACAGCTCATTCAAGATAGTAAGTTTGTTTGGTTAACATTTATAATTAGTCCTCAGTCATTGCTATTCAATGTATTTTCTTCAAATTTTTCACCTGTAGGTTTCAATTGTTTTTTACCTATCTATCTATATAAGGATTTTTACAGCTGTCGCCGCCTTCCTTCTTTCAGCCAACGTCTCCAGTCCTTTCTGTTCTGCCATTCTCCATCTCTAAGGTCTCGTCTTTCCATGGCCTCGTCCACTTCATCCCTCCATGATCTTCGGGGTCTACCTCTTTTCCTCCTTCCTATTGTGCTCCAATCCGAAATCTTTGCTATCCACCTTGTATGATCTGTTCTTCTCACATGTCCATACCAAATTAAACGTTTTCTTCGATGTAGCTGAGTATGTCTTGTTCTACTGCCATTCTTCGTTTTATCTCCTCATTTCTGATGCGATCTATTTTTGTCACTTTGCAGCTTCTTCTCATGAACCCCATTTCAGTTGCTGTGATTTTGGACCTGTTTCGTTTATTTATTATTTCTTTTTACCTATTCCCCATTTTTATACCATCATCATTTACTCTGTATATTCTCAATAAATTAACTGTGTAACCCTGTATTGATAGGATAATTTTCATTATTCGCTCACTAAATTGTTCCCAAGTTATTAGGTATTTTTAAACCTTCTGTGTATCATGGTTGATACTCTCTTTTCTTTAGGAACCCTACTATATAAGTGATCATATTTCCCCAACTTTCTGATCCTTTGTCTTTTTCTTGGTTTCGGATAAAACTGCAATATCAATAACCGGTCTAATTCACTTAGCACTGTATTTATTTTCTTTGAGAGACCCTGTACATTCTATGTTTCACAATTCTTAATTATTTTACATAATTTAATCCATCTTAAAGTTTCCTGTATAGTCCGAGGCTTTTGGTTAGGTTTTTTAGCAATATTTTGTTACATAGAACAGGGGGCTGGCCCGTCGCTATGACCCTCCTCTTTTATCCGGGCTTGGAATCGCAAGAGTAACTGTTATGCTACTAGATCCACACAACAACCATTTCAGGCGGAGTTATAAGTGAAACTTAATGGAAACGTCAAGTGTATCAATAATAAGTAGTTTCAATTAAAATTTCTTTTTATTTCCATTAAATACAGTAAACAACAAATGAAAAGGTGTATCTAGTATGCATCATAATGGTGGTGGTATCTACTAGACTCTAGAGCAGCTTGTTCGTGCCTCAATTGGGTATCACTTTGTGGTGGGTAATGATGATACAAATCAAAGCAACACCGAAGAATTTAAATATCATTTTAGTAGATGCTTCTAAGCGGAAACAAAACAATTATTGCTCCACACCACGAAGAATCTCACACATGAACGAAAAAACCATTTTTATAATAGGGTTGCTTAACGCAAACGTACTCAAGGGAAGGAAATAAAAAAAGAACTTGTAGACTTTAGTAAGATATAGAAAGCTGTTTGGTATTTATTTTTACGTAAATTTTGAATTTTGCAAAGTTGCAGTAATTTGTTAGTATTCTGTGTATAAAATGTGTGTATGTTATACTTGTCACATAGATTCATTGCTATATTGATATACATAGTGAAATTACACATATACATCATTTCATCAACGGTGCAAGTCTTAAGTCTTACCCTCTATCCTACTTTTTTTAAATACTAAAACTAAAATTATTAAATTTTTAATGTACGGACACTAACGCAATAAATTAAAAATTGCCGACAGTTGCCATTTTGTTTGAAATTTAAGTTTAAATGAGATCATATTACAAGTAATACATCATTCGAAAGCTTAGCTATCACTTACTATATTTCTAGATTTTGGTACAATTTTGTAACTTTGTTTTAAAACGGTAACCGTTCAATATGTCATTGCAGCAGTATTAAAAAGTATGGACTTCCCCTAATAATTTACACAATATCTAGTGAGTGTCACTGAAATGTCTTAAAAACAATAAACAGGTGTCTTAATCAATTACCCAAAAATTTTAAGTTTTATGGATCAGAAAATTAGAGGGTAAGTCTTACGACTAGTACTGTATAAAAGGGCGAATCAAATATGACCCAGACTTTTATTGGTACAGTAAATAAAACTTCGAATAACAGTAACAGTAAATAAAACAATTTATTTTTCCATATAATATCCTCTTGTATTTATACGTTTTCCCACTGAATAAGGAGTTTTTTAATTTTCTCAAAGAATGAAGCTGGTTGTGTCTATAACTAAGTATGAACGTTTCTACTCCATCGTGGTAGTCAAAGTGATAACCTCTAAGTTCTTCTTTGAATGTCCCATACATATGGTAGTCACGCGGCAACAGATCCGGACTGTAGGACGGATGATCCAACGTCAACGGTAAAGTTCCAATGAATTTTATCCAACTCTTCTTGGATTAATGAAGCTGTGTATGTCTGAGCGTTATCATGAATCGCTTCTCAAATAGGCATGTCTCACCTTTGTCATTCATAAGCCAATTTCAATTCATCACGTAGTTGGCAGTAGTAAGCAGCATTAGCTATATAATCTCCATGAAGAAAATCAACTAACATTATGCCTCTTTAATCCCAAAAAATTGTTTCAAGAATTTCTCAGCAGAACGACGAGACTTTGATATCCGCAGCTCTGCTTCTCCAGGTGTTTGGCTCGCCATGATTGCCTGCTTATATTGCGGGGTGTAATGATGCACCAAGTCTCATCACAAGTGACAATGTGCCTTCCGCTTTTCGATATCTTGCCAAAACTCTTTCACATCCGGCAGGATGGTATTCTTTCTTGCCTCAAGAGGCGAGAAACCACCTTATCGACACATTTCAGTAACCCAAATCCTCTGAAATGATTCATTGGGCATTCGTGTATGATCTTCCGATGTGCTTACCAATGTCCTATATGGTAAGGCGGCGATCCGCTTCAATCATCTCACGGGTCACAAGAGTATTCGTGCTTGTCCGAAGTTGGTGTTCATGGGTCTCATTTTTCACTGATTCGGTCATTGGAAAATTGTTTTACACCCTCTTTCGACAAAAAAATTAATAATAATGAGTTACTCAACATGCGTGTGCACCTCTTGCTCAGATATGATGCCTACTAACAGGAGAGCTTTAGGAAGCCAAACCGACTTACTCGTGAGTCACGTTACTCACTTCATCTAGTTAAAACGAAAGTCCGGTTCATATTTAAGTCGCGTCAGTAAAACCCTTAATATTCATTGTTATTTAACTAAAACATAATCTAAAATATGTAGTGTAATATTTTGCGCTTTACCTTTTTAATGCATTTTTGTAGTGTTTTTCTAATTCTTGCTTTTTTTCATGTATAACAGAGGGCGAGGTAGCTCAGCAAGGTATATAGCTTTTACATTGTTATTATTATTTTATTATTAAAATAATTCGTTACAATTTTGCTGTTACATAATACAAAAATAGTGCAATTTATATGAGTTTTATAATGATATTTACAGACAGATATCATTTAGACCAAACGTTTGCATTTATTCAGCGGGAATCTAGAATAAATTCTAGATTTTATGGCCTAAAATTGATTCTGGAAAGGGAAATACCAGTAAGGTAAGCAGAGCTCAAAAGCAAAATTGGCTTAAGAAGCCAAAAATTATCAACTGCAAGAACAAAACAGAAGACAGAAAAATTTGGAAATAAATAGTTGAGCTATGAACCTACTAGGATTAAGCTTTCTATATAAAATCTTACTATCGCAATTAATACAAAACTCGCCAAAACGTCTAATAGTGACCTTGCACTATTGCAAAATTTATTATATATGTATATATATATATATATATATAATATATATATATATATATATATATATATATATATACTTGTCTATGTAAACAATTTAAATACTATTAATTATACTGGTATAACTCAAAGTTGTAACGAATATATTAGTAATATTTAACTCATTGAAATGGCGTTATTTCTAAAGAGAGTGATAAAAAGACTTGCAAATTGCAAATTTTACCGTACATTATCAATATTGAACTTTTGTCTAAGAAATAGTTTTATAAAAGCTTTTTTCATTGGCATTTTAGTTTTATTATATTCTCCAATGCAAATTTTACCAGTCAATAGATAGAACGTAGACGATTCATAGATGCCTGTTGTTTCTCCGGATCTTACCTGTTAGATATTTTTTTGCGATTATCTAAAATCACTTGTTTAAATTATGCGAGGTGAACAGCGAGCGTTTTGAACATTTGAAGTGATTTTGAAATCATTATTCTCATTGGCCTTAGTAAATAAATTTACTTATTCTTTGATTTATTTCTTGTTTTAACCATTTTTGAGGCTATTTCTCGTGAAACCGGGAGTAGTTATGTGTCATTGTATTTCCATGCAAAGTTTGATGAATATCAAACTTTGTATATGGTTTAAAATAAAAAATTGAAACTAGAATTTAACATTGAAACTCATCACCCATTCGTCGACTTCAAGGTCGCATACGATAGTGTCAAGAGAACAGTACTATACCAATCAATGCTTGAGTTCGGTATACCAGAAAAACTATTAACCGATTAACTAAAATGACAATGTCAAACTTAAAAGCCAGCGTTAGGATACAGGTAGAAAATTCTCGGTCCTTTGAGATAAAGGATTGACTTACACAAGCTGATGCATCGACTTACCTCCTATTTAACATTGCCTTGGAGAAGGCAGTCCGAGTCACACGAATTAGAGACGGAGGTACTATTTACAGTAGATCGATACAAATCTTAGCATACGCTGATGGCATTGACATAATAGTGCGTAGCAAGCAAGATGTTTGAGCAATATTTTCTAGAATAGGAAACGGCGGCGAAACAAGTCGTTCCAGTCATCAACGAAGAGAAAACCGAGTACATGTTGGTTACGGGGGGAACGGGAAACAGCATTTGGAAGTCATATCTTTGAACGTGTTAATAGCTTGACATATCTTGTCTCGCTAGTGACTACTGCCAATAAAACAAGCGAAGAAATTAAAAGACAAATAAACCTTACAAATAGGCTATACTATGGACTCCAAAAACAGGATCCACAGAGGATTATCGAGCCAAATATGATAATGATATGGTTTAAATAAAATTTTAATGATACAATGAAAAATGCTTTTATAAAAAAATATATCCAAGCAATATTGTTTTCTTTTTTAGTCTGCAATTTTCATTTTGTATCGCAGAGTTTTGTTCAGTGAAACCCATTTCTTCTTTTTCACTTACTGTAAATATAAATATAATTTTAATGTTCAACAGAGCAGTTTATTGTAAGATGTGCAACATATGGCTGATATTTTGAGAACGTGTGTTCAAACAGACCAACCAAATAGTAAAATGTATCAGTTTACACAAAAACTAATGTACAAGACTTGTACCATAGAATATGTAGATAATAATAATTTTTCTACTTCTTATACTTAATTCATGAGGATTATTGGTAAATATTGCTAAATTTAAAATACAGTTTATAAATTAATTACAGTTTATAGATTGCTACATCTTTTTAAATAAACTGCTCCTTTGTTGAATACTGTATCGGCTGTATGAATAAATTATTGTTCTAATTTAGCGAGACCAAAGAGAGCACCAGAGACTGCAGTAACAGCATCACCTGAACGAGTGAGTCGAACAAGAAATCGAAACTCACAGTCACAACGTAAGTATATGAACTTAATGTAATGTTTTCCTTCTTGTGCTTTTATTACCGACTAATGTTTCATGAATACATGATTACGTCTCGAAAAAGTGTTGCTCAAAATGTTATATAAAGTATGTGGCAAGACCGGAACGACGTCGTATCTCGTGGTTGAAAAATCTCCGACAATGGTTAGGGATGACCTCCGCGGAGCTGTTTCGCAGAGAAGTCAAAACCATGATAGTCTTGATGATCGCCAAAATCCGGACCGGATAAGGCACTGAAGAAGAAGAAGAAAATGTTATAAGAGCATTACGCTGTCATTTAAGAAATATATTGGAAGTACAATCAAATTTCACATTTATAATTCTCTTTTATAGTCTGCTTCTTGTCTATATAACTTGAGTATTAAAATGTCCTGTTATATGAAGTTGAAGCCCGAATAAGTACGCATGCATTTAAAAATACTTGCTACACGTAATAAACAGTTAGATACACACAGAGGTAAAAAATAAATACTTAACACTATGTCTTCTTCTTAAGGTGCCTTCTCCATTACTGAAGGTTGGCTATAACTACAGCAAATTGCTCTCTATCTTGAGCTGTTCTTAGTATCGCATGTGTGTCCATGCCTGTCCAGTCTCTTATGTTCTTCAACCAGGAGCATTTTCTTCTTCCTGGACCTCTTCTTCCTTCCACTTTCCCTTCCATTATAAGTCGTAGGAAGTTGTATTTTTCTCCTCTGTAGATATGTCCTAAATAACTCGTTTTTCGGTTTTTTACAATATTTAGGAGTTCTCTGTCAGTACCCATTCTTCTTAGCACCTCGTTGTTGGTCACGTGCTCTGTCCAAGAGATCTTCAGCATTCTTCGAAAAACCCACATCTCAAAGGCTTCTATACGCCTCATACTTGTAATTCCGAGAGTCCATGTTTCCACTCCGTATAGCAATATGGAATAAATAAACGTTTTTACAAATTGGTATCGGATGTCCAACGATAACGTAGAGTTTATTAGAAATTTTTTCATTCGCTGAAATGCGGACCTAGCATATTCTATACGAGCACGTATTTCGACCTCGTGGTCAAGATCGTTTGTTATCCAGCAACCAAGATACTGGAATCTTTGTACTGGTTCTATATGTTTGTTATAGATACGAATATTAATGTCGACATTTGGTGTACGTGTAACAGCCATCACTTTTGTTTTATTTGTGTTTATATTTAGTCCCAAGCTATCTCCTCTCTGGTTATGACATTCAAAAGTCGTTGTAAACCCTCAGCACTGTCCGCAATAATGACGGTGTCGTCTGCGTATCTTAAGTTGTTTACGTATTCTCCGTTGATTTTTATTCCTTCTTCAATATTTTCGAGGGCATTTTGAAAGATCTTTTCGGAATATATATTAAATAACAGTGGAGAAAGTACACAGCCCTGACGAACTCCTCTTTTTATTGGCAATTCTGCTGTCAGACGATTGTCTATTTTGATAGATGCCATTTGATCCCAATATAGTTTTTTAATAAGTGCTACAGTGTTATGGTCTATACCATGTTGTGTTAGGGTTTCTATGAGTTCTGTGTGTTTAACTCGATCAAACGCTTTTTCGTAGTCGATAAAACAGAGAAAGACGTCTTTTCGCTGATCTCGGCATTTTTGTAGTAATACCTGGAGGCCAAATAATGCCTCCCTTGTACCAAGCCCCATACGAAATCCAAATTGATTGTCGCTAAGGTTTCTTTCGCATTCTCTGTATATTCGTTGAGTCACGTCATTCGTCAAAACACTATGACAGAAGGAAAAATTAGTTACTTTGTGAATTCAAACGTGATATTTTACACTACCTCCATATGGCAGACACTTGAAGCTATAACTGGTTCAGAGTCGTGTTTTGTAACGAATATTTTGAATACCACATAAGGCATTACTATAAGGATTTGAAATTGGAGACAGAAATTATCGGGGTAGAGATAGGGCAAGCAAAATAATTGAAACTGTTGCGAATGGCTCTCAGCGCTTATTTGGAGAACAGGGTCGTGGATAAGTAAATGAATCAATGGGATTGGATTGGGGCAACTACAAAAATGAAATAAAGGAGTACTTACATGAATCTCCTGGAACAAATAAAATACAAGAAGGTCCTCTAGCTATTTAAAATAAGGACGCCGCTTTGAGGAATCATCCTGCTGGATGAAAGAAAAGGTTCTTCCTTTTCACATTCTAAGATCTACAATTTTAATTATTACAATTTCTTAAATTGTTATGAAAGCAATTATTATTAGAAAGTGTTTATCTTTAAAAATCAAACATAAAAGTTACCTGTATTTCACTAAAATTTCTGGACTTACACTCTCTTCCGCACGAACAAATTTATCTCCAAACTATGAAAAAGTATTCTGAAACGGATTCTTAGGAACACAAATTTGAGGTTGAAGCTGACACTGGATATAAAATTTGAAAATCTGCTTCTTTAAAAAAGCTGGAACCATGTGGATATTTTTCAAAGTTGTTGTAAACGCCATTTTACAAATATCTCAAATGACATACGGCTTACAAATAAAAAATAGTGATTACTCGTGTTCAAAATTGACACATTACATTGAGTAAAAATCACTTTTTTTTCAACAAATTTGTCGGTTTTTTCCGACTAAACTAAACACGTCGGCTTTCAATGACCAATCTTTCCTAACCTGACTTTACTTCGACCTTTCTAATCTTACCGGCATCTAGTCTTGCATCTCACCTTGCAATGGGCCAACCGGTCCTTGCAATGGGCCAACCCAAAATTCTTGTCAAGCTTTCCCAGCTTTTAAAATTTCAAAACTAACACTTACAAATAAATATCACCATATTTTTATCACTTGAATTCTTTCTTGTGGAATGTCGAGTGTAAACAAAGAAACTAAATTTTAAATATAACCTAGGAGCGTACCAAAATTTTTTTTATTACTTGAATATTCGATATTTAAGGATTTTTCTTATGCTACAACTTAAAATATCTTCCAATGGTGCATTTATGGACAACTTAATGTATTAAACTGTGATATATATTGCAGAGATCTTTTATATCGGTCTTATTATTGATACAAATTTGATCTTTTTTATGTGAATCATATCCCATATAGTAGTTGTTTTCTTTTTCCAAAATCTGTACATTTTCAAAATCAAAAGAATACCTATTTTCCAGAGAATACCTAGCTAATTTTAGCTTAAGAACTGCAGAGTATAGTTTGTTTATGGTAATCGACTTAAACAGCAAATTCCATAGGTGATACGGGAAGGGGCTCGTATGTTTCCGACATTGACTCAAAAATTTCAAATTACCCAAAATGTCAAAATATTCCCAAGCTTAATGAACCGAATATAACTAATAATTTAAAAGTTGATGAAAGTTAATGTTACATTACGCTAGTAATACAAAAAGTACAACATTGCGCTGCAGGTACAGTTAATGGTACAAAATCTAATAGGTTTACGGCATTATACCCATCAAATATTTTAAAATTATTATATCTTTGTTTGTTCTTCTCATGATATTATTTCATTTAAATTTTAGCAACGAGTAGGTCAGGATCGCCTAGCTCCCGCCTGGCTTATATCTACCATAGAGCCCCTGAACACGAATCTCCAAGACCAAGAAGATTATCTTCTGGTATACCCCGATCAACACAAGGTTCCCGAGACACGTCGAGGGAAACTAGCCCTAACAGAAGCATGAATAGGTTTAGAAGAGGAAGTGATAGACCACCAATGAGTCCCGCATCGAGACCGGTATTGGCTCAGAAAATTTTACAACAGAGCAGGGAAGCTGAAAATGCGTTAGCTGATGTATTTGTAAGTAAAAAATTGTAATATGTGATGTAACTGTTTCGTAATATGGTAATACCACAGCCACCTTTACTTCCAAGCCATGAAGTAAAAAAGGCAACACCGCATTCTATGACGTCGGTAGTCCCATAATCAGCTGTAAGGTCTACCAGAAAATTAAACTAATTTGAATTTTAGGAAACTGATATTTTGAAAACTTCAATTCATTACAGAAATATTTTTAGGGAAATTAAATTAATAAAACCTTATATTTACCTAATAAATATATATAAAATTTTATTATTATTTAGGTTATATTATCAATAAAATAATCACTAGAGTAAACTTTATTGCACTTAAAATACATTGTCAAACAGTTAATCTTACAATCAAATGCAGTCAAGAATCTCTAGAAATTTTAAATATTAAGTACTTAAGCATATAAATAACACAATACATTAAACACGACATTTATAAAGATTATTAAAAATGCAAAAGATATAAAATTTGTTCAGTAAAAACTTAGTGTAACTATTATGATTAAAAAATTCATCCTAAGAAATCAGACACAATATAAATATGGTTCTAAATTAATCTAATTGAAAATTAAATATTTTACTATTTACTAATAACTTTTGTTGAATTTTCATACTTAGGTATACGAAAGTAGCAATTTTAAATATGAATAGGTTTTTTGTCATATAGACCAAGTTAAGAGAGGTATACATGAAAAATGTGTTGAATGTAACATACCATTTATAACTTGTATATCGATTTAAAATAGCCTATATTCTCAAAAGATTTTTGAATGTAATACTCAAATTTGTTGTCACTTATCTAAAAAGCAGATCTAAATGAGAAAGTAAGTTGTCTAATTGTGACCATCTTGTTAATTTACTATATTGTAAAATCCATTTCAAATCATTACTACTTAATCTATTCTTACCTACATTGACGATTACACTAAAATTACTGCTAACTATTACACTATGTAGTACACAAATATTATCACACTTGTGTCCCAACTGATTAATGTTTAATACATAGAAATATACACAGTCACTTGTAATTTTACTTGTCCAGTTTTTCAATGGGATATTATTGTCTAAGTCTAATTGTCATAATTATGTTATCTCTTGTTCCCTCTTCTTATGCAAAAAGTTTCTTCTGTCTTCGGGATTCCTTCTTTCTTTAGTACGATGAACAGTTACATATGAAGGTACTTCAGGAAATATATTAGGAACTGCATTGCCTTTTAATTTGGGAAATATTAACTTTTCAATGTGTACATTTCCATCTTTATCTTCTCATTGTTCAGTCCGCTGAATATCATCTTCATGAAAATGTTTGGTACATACTACGGAAGATTTGGTAATTGTATAGCCTTCTCTATGAATAGAGCATAACCCAGTATACCTTCTTTGGGGATCTTTGGGAAACGAAAACGTACTTTCTGCCTGTTTCGTTTTTAAAGTACTCTCATAATTGGTTTTGCAACCAGGTACACAACAATGCCAGAGCATCTGTAACAAAAAACAAAAGTATTATTATTGTTGTTTTTAGTTTACATATTTTGTAACAAGAAGCAAAAGTATTATTATTTTCAGTTTGTTTTGTAGGTTATATTTATACTTGCCTTTTAAATTTATTGTCGTTAAGAATCTTCTAAAAGTTCTAAATTTAATGAAATTTCACTTATATTAATATTTTCTAATTGATTTAAACACAATTTACAAATAAAACATTCGAATAAAGTTAAAAAAACACTAAATTCAACAAACTTTACAAGCCTTCCTAAATAAAATATTAAACAAAACAAACCACGGTCGGACTACCAGGCGTTGTTGCCAAATTTCTACTTCATGGCTTGGAAGTAAAGGTGGCTATGGTAATACACATACTCAAAAATAGTTTTCATAGTATGATAAAATTTTTCTAAATTAGCTACCAAATCGGTTGGTTATTGTTATTTTTCAATATAGAAACATTATGATAGATATAATGCTGCATATGTTGTATAAAAAGTATAAAAATACGTAATTTAGATAAATTTAAATAAAAGATGCAAATGACAATTACTATTCTGTATTTACATATATTGCATCGACACAGGCTTGAATACATCGTCTCATACTTCCTATTAAGGAATTGATATAATTCTGGTTCATCATAACTTATGCTATTTTAAGCTCTCTTGTGTATTTGGCAAATTTTTGTCACTTGCCTATATTTGTCATATAGTGGGATTGGTTCAATCTGCCATTACTTGTACAATTATTTGCCGTATAGAAAACCCCACCTCTTGTCGGTAATAACGCCGCGAGTCAAACAGATTTCAATTATTTGCATGCCTGTTCAATTTAATGGAGGTTGAGAGAGTTGGGAGGCCATTGCGAAATGGTTTCCAAAAATCTGTCTGTTCAAATATGAGCCTAAGAATAATATCAAGATAAATTGGAGTATTCATGTTATCAACGACGGGTTACGAAACCTCCTTTGTAACGAACTCTATTGACAACTCAGTCAAGCCAATCATATCGATTTGGATTTCTTCAGACTATAAATCGACAGTTATCTTCCACACGGTATATCCCAGTCTTCTCAGAAGAAGAAAAGATATTGATTAGGGTTGCAAGTTAAAAAAAATGAATAAAGTAAACGAATTATTTTTATAGAAAAGACTTAAGACGTTAAGATTTTATTTTATGTATAGTGCCTCTACTATTCGCTTATACGTATTTCCTCTTAGCAAGACTCCTCAGAACAACTGGGTAGAAGCCATGAACGTGAACATTCTTCACATATTTTTCGTCATAGGAAGTAATAATAACTTCAACCATGTTTCGTGTGTTTCTTAAAACAATGTATAATTTTTTCATTTACTCATCTTGGGTGTCTGAAAATTTTTGACTCATTTTTAAGAAAATGGACGAATATTTGTTTTGATGGTTACTGCTCAATTTCATTTCGATTTCCATCAAAATTAATCTACGACTTGCTAATCTAAAATTGCCGACAGTGGAAATCGAAAAGTGATCAGAACTTTACGTTTGAAAGAAACCACTACCATATAATTATCGTCACTGGATCTAAACCGAAGTCGACTGCGTTCCGTTTCTTCTACCGGAATCTCTTAGGAAACCCCTTCTTTAGATGGATGAGTTAAGTTAGAAAATAGATTAAATTAAAAATGGTATATTAGGGGAAGTTTAGGGGTGATACTAATCTTCTTTTACCAATCTCCTCGTTTTTATTCCTACTGCTTATGAAGAAGAGAATGGTGAAATAAGAATGAGAAATTTGCATAACGTTCTTTTTATTGCGCTTTCTCCTTTCTAAGGGTGGCGATCTAAATGTCAATTTTAGTTTTAGAAACATACATTCATGTCTCTGCATTGTTTTGTTAACACATTTAAGGTTTCTCGTGGTTCCAGTTCGTTTCGAAATTCGAGTTGAGTGTCACTCATTTGAAACTCACACGTCTTGTAAATTCGTGTATGGATTATTCTAAGAAAAGTTTTAAGGACATACGCAACCAAACTTAATATTCAATAGTCAACGCACTGTGAAGAATTGGGTTTTTTTTGGTAATGTTACGAATGTTAACGGTGGCTGCACCGGTGGTTTTTTCTGAGCTTTTACTGCATAGATGACCCCTTCTTTTGTTATTTCTGGGCTTTTTCCTTATTGGATTATTCGTGAACTTATTTGATTATCCGGACTTGGTGAAAGCAACAAAAGAGGAGATCGTCTAGTTCAATTTTGCCAAGAACACAACCTAGTACTTACTAACAGTCTCTTTAAGCTCCCGCACCGTAGACTCTATACCTGGAAATCACCGGCAGACTCACCTGGTAAAAAAATCAAAAATCAAATAGATTATATCGCTGCACCAATCAGTTTTACAAAGCCGTAAAAACTTACCTGGGTGCGGACGTAGCATCAGACCACAATCCGGTGGTATGTAAGTTTGAAGTAAAGTTAAAAAAGCCAAATATAAAGAACAGGTCCGAAACGCTAGATATTAGGAAGCTTTCCACCGAAACGCTAGATATTAGGAAGCTTTCCAACATTAATAATAAACAACAGATGCAGGAGAATTTAAATACCGAAATATCAAAAATCCTTAAAAATAACAATGAACCGCTGGAAAAGTGGAGTGAAATTAAAGAAGAGATTAGGACTTCAAGCAATAAGTTTTTAGTACCTGATAAGAGAAAAAAGAAAGACTGGATGACTGCAGAAATCCTTGACATGATGGAAGAGAGACGGATATATAAAACTAAAGATACTGCCAAATACCGTGAAACCCATAGACGAATAAGAGCTGAGATAAGAAAAAGAGACATAGTTCTCGGAGAGATGCGAAGAAATCGAACAGTGCGAAAAGGTATACGACTATCACAATATGCATAAGAAGATAAAGGAACTCACAACAAAGAAAAGCTATAATATTTTATCGAAAGGGCTGTGCGATGATAATGGAAATCTACAATTAGACCCCGGCAAAATAGTTAGAATCTGGGAAACTTATGTGGAACAACTGTTTAATGATGACCGTCCTAGTAGGTGTACACTGAGCAATGATGATACTGGCCCTTCTATTCTAAAATCTGAAGTGGAGAATGCTATAAAGAGACTTAAAAATAACAAAAGACCAGGCAATGATAACGTATACGGGGAAGTATTAAAAATGCTGTGCGAAACAAACAGTCAATTTCTAGACTCACTCGTCAGACTCTTTAACAATATTTATAACAGCGGGAAGTTTCCTGAAGACTGGCTAGAGTCAACTGTTGTTGTCATACCGAAAAAACCAAAAGCAAAGTCTTGTGATCAACATCGGATGATAAGTCTAATTAACCACATTTCGAAGGCATACACCAAGGTTATTTACAACAGAATAAGCAAAAAATGCGAGGATAACATTGGAGATTCGCAGTTTGGGTTTCGGAATTCTCTTGGGACAAGAGAGGCACTTTTTAGTCTACAGGTACTCATCCAGCGCTGCAGAGATATGAACAAAGACGTGACACACATGACACTGTGATTCTAGCAAGTAGCATGGAGGAACTGAGTTGCCTAATGAGTAAGATACAAAAAACAAGTGCACAATACGGACTCAGACTAAATATCACAAAAACCAAATGGATGTTAGTAAGCAAAACCCAACAACCACCACAGTAACTGATATTAGACAATGAAAGAATTGAACACGTGGATTCGTACATCTACTTGGGAACAAAAGTTAACTCAAATTGGGATCAAGCGAAGGAAATACGTATAAGAGTAGAAAAGGCAAGAGCATCGTTCATTAGCATGAAGCAAATTTTCTCCTCTAAAAGCCTCACCCTACCTCTCAGAATTCGACTTCTGAAATGTTATGTATTCCCGGTTTTGTTATATGGAATGAAGGCGTGGACAATGACCACAACATTGATGAAAAAAGTAGAGGCCTTCGACATGTGGGTTTACCGACGTATATTACGTGTATTCTGGACTGAGCACGTGACCAACGAAGAGGTACTACGCCGGATAGGTAAAGAGAGAGAGGTAGGAATAAGTATAAAGAAAAGAAAGTTGGAATACTTGGGTCACGTTATGAGACATAATAAATATAGAGTACTACAGCTGATCGTTCAAGGGAAAATAGACAGCAGAAGGGGTCCAGGGAAGAGAAGATACTCGTGGCTCCAAAACTTGCGGCAATGGTTCGGATTGTCATCTGCTGAACTATTCAGATCTGCCGTAAACAAAGTCAGAATAGCCATGTTGATTGCCAACGTTCGGAACGGACAAGGCACATGAAGAAGAAGAAGGATTATCCGTGGATGGTGGAGCACAAGGTTATTGTCGCCAAAAGTATCTGTATATATTCTTTCCATTTCGCTAGTTTTTCTTGTGTACCTGTAATTATTCCTTTACTATTATTTCTTAATATTGTTTCTTGCCGCTTTCTGTGTCTGTTCCATAATATATGTCTAGTTTTTATTGCAATATTTTTTTATTGACATGACACTCTTATTTTTATAATATTTGTTATATTTGTTAAAATGTTTTGTTTACATTAGTATATTTTTAAACAAATATATTGTTAAGTAAATTAGAACCAATTGACATCAAAGATGTAATTACATTACTATTTACTTTACAGAATACGTCAGACCATTATAGGAGTCCAAGAAAGAACATTAGATCTGTCGATAACCAGTCGGATGAATCAGAAACTTCCAGTGTTTGTTCAGAAAGATCTGAGAGGTCTCTAGATTCCTTTAGAAGGCATTGTGATGTAAGTTGCACAAATGTTTCATCATTATGGTATTTATAACATTCATTTAGTTATTATTAACTATAAATAAGTCTGTTTTAAAGATAAAATCAGTTAAAGTGTTATAACTAAATTTATTCTAGCTTATAAATCATGAAACATCGAGTAAAATCTACATTTATTCCTAAAAATCTCGTTTTCTATTAGTTTACAATTGTAGCATGGAAATAAAGAAACCAGAACAAGGAACTGGAATCCTGCTAATTTGTATTAAAGCATATGTTCCCTTAAGTGAAAATTCTACGAACAAACTTCATTTAGTTTGAACATTTTCATTACCTAGCTCATTTTTACTGCGAAATCTTCGCTCGCAATATTTTACCCAATTAATCGAGGGCTGATCTCCACATAAAGAGGATTTTCAAGTAAAATCAGCTATAACAGTTTCTTAATATTATATATATATATATATTATATATATATATATATATATATAGATATTATATATATAGCTATATTAACAGCTATAACGCAATGAATATAACGAGTGGTCCAAATCTGCGAAGTTTTGTCTAGAAAATGACCATTCGACTCGGTAGAACATGTTCCCGGTAACGATCAAAGAGAGCAGTCCGAACTTGCGATTATTTTTGTAAAAAATGTTTGTTTATGCACAGAATTTTGCTCAAATGCATACCAACCTTGTAAGTGATAGCTGTATATAGAAATTAAATCCACAATATATTATCAACCTAGCGATAACTGATGAGGGAATACTTATAAATGGAGAACGAATGAACAACAGATAGGCTGATAGTCATTTTTGCAGATAGTCTGGAAGGTCTGTCGACGGTTGTCTTATTATTAGTAGAAGTAAGCCATAGGTTTGGGATTGATTTTAATATCAAAAAACAAAATACATGGTTATAAACAAAAATATGGTAACACCGAGACAATTATTAATTAACCAACAACTGGTATCAGAAATCATTCGCTTGACTCTTTGGGTGTGAATTTTAACAAAAAGTGGGGACACCCAATGGTAATTAAAATAAGGATCAAGAAGGCAAGATCAGCTTTCATCAAAATGAACAAAATCTTTAACGCCCACAATATACAATGGGAAATAAAAGTTCGTTTACTAAAATGCTACGCATTCTGTAAAAGACTAAAGAGACTCTAAGCACTTGAAATGTGGTGCTATAGACGCATGTTGAGGATTTGTAAAGTTAACAACGAAGAAGTGTTGCTCAGAATGGGTAAAAAGTGCGAACTGGTCGTTACTAGAAAACGTCGCAAACTGGAATACCTGAGCCATATAAGCGTCATCAACAACAATACGACCTTACTTTAGACCATACTTCAAGGTATGGTTGATAAAGAGATCCGGGAAGAAAAATATCCTGGCATCTAACCATAAATCTCCTGGAAATCTCCTGATAATGAAACGATTAACTAAATAGATCATAATAATCATCGATGCAAGACACTGTTCTAACATATTAGATGTTAAATCTTTTAGAGGAGGAAACATAGATAGTGATAACTATTTAGTTAGAGCACAATTTAAAGAGAGAATATCCAATTTAAAAAAGAAGATCGGGAAAAGGAGAGAAAAAATCGACATTAATAAACTAAAATATCCTGACATTTCAAATGTATACAGACAGTAAATAGAAGATCAAATAAGGACAGAAAACTTAGAAGAAGAAAAGACATTAACCAACTGTGGGAAAATATATGAGATATTGTGTTACAGAAATCGGTTGAAATATTGGGCAAAACCAAGTCAGAAAAAAGAAATCATTGGTTTGATCATGAGTGCGAAATGGCCACAAATAGAAAGAACGCAACATATCAAAAAACGATCGACGCAGGGTTGTATACGGAGAAAAAGAGAAGAGTATAGACGTCTTCGAACAGGAAAAAACGTATCCATCGACGTAAGAAGAGGAAATACGAACATAATACTCTCAATGAGATACAAAGTTTATTCAATAAAAATGAAACGAGGAAATACTACAAATCCTTAAATAATATCTGTCGAGAATTTAAACCACGATTAAAAATTTGTAAAGACACTAACGGTGAAATTTTATGATAAAAACTCAGTTCTTAACAGATGGGCATAACATTATAGCGAACATCTAAATATAAGCGATATTGAAGGAGGTTACAAAATAGACAATAAACAAAATCTACAACGTCAACTTCACAGTAAAGACCCAACAACAGAAGAAGGGTCAAATGCAATCCTAAAACTCAATAGTAGCAACTGAAGAAAACAAAGCCCTATTAATCGATGAAATCTGTTCGGAAATGTAGAAAAAAGGTCGTGATCAACTTTTTTTTGCCAATCCATTAACTAATTAATTATATGACAGAATTAACTGGTACCAGAAGAGTGACTAAAGGGAATAATATGTCCATTGCATAAAAAGGGTGATTAGCTGTAGTATAAGAACTATAGAGGCATTACTCTGTTAGCATCTGTGTTTAAAATCTTCAGCAATATATTGTTTGAAAGACTTAAAGAATTGACAAAGTATATTGTTGGTCAATATCAATGCGGATTTACTGCTGGAAAGTCAACTACACATCAAATTTAAGCACATAGGCAGATTCTAGAAAAGTCACTAGAATATAACATAGATACATACCATCTCTTCGTCGACTTTAAAGCAGCCTATGACAGTGTGAAAAGAACTGAATTATATAATGCACTGATATTGGGATCCCACCTAAGTTAGTTAAGTTGACCCAACTGACAATGCAAAAACGTAAGGTCACGCGTTAGAATCGTGGGAGGAAAACTCTACGTTCTTTGAAATTAATAATGGTCTAAGACAGGGGGGCGTGCTGGCGTGTCTCCTTTTTAATATTTCTTCACCACTAGTTATAGTGGGCAGAAGTATGAGAGACATCGTGCAGTGTTTTACAAGGCTTGCGGACGCGGCAACTAAATTAGAATGTTGGTTTCTAAAAACCCCCGAAATATCCAACAGAGAATTCAAATTAACAACCATACCTTTGAGCAAGTCAACGAATTCACATATCTTGGATCGCTAGTAAATGCAGCAAACACGACAAGCGACGAAATAAAAAGACGCATAGCAATAGCAAACAGAACTGTTCACGGTCTACAGAAACATTTTACAACGTAACAGTTATACAACGATTCAGATATTGTGAAATTCGTTACAAGTACAAAGACTTGATGGGCTGGACACATTGCTAGGAGGTCAGATCACGAATACACGAAGAGATTAACATTTTCAAAACCAGAGGACACAAGAAGTAGAGGACGACCACGAAGGAGATGAATTGATGATGTGGAAGAAGACGTGCAAATTCTAAGGGTCAGAAGATGGAGGAAAGGTGCCAGGAATCGACAGGAGTGGCGACTTCTTTGTGAGCAGGCCACGATCCACAACGGATTGTTGAGCCACTTATGATAATAATGATCTAACCATAAAATAGACGCCTTTAAATTGTTTTTAAAAATGCTACGAAAAACGAAAGTAATTAAATGCATTGTTTTACAAAAACGTGGAACTTGCTAGCAATCTGCCACTGTATTAATATGAGAATATGTACTTTCGAATGTATCTACACAACACCGGCATATAGGTTTCTTGCTGTATTTGGTGAGGGTTAAACATTTTGCCAGTATAAAAATCAGAGCATTCAGTTCTAAGATATATATTGCGGCTTTATTGTTGCTTAAGATATATGTGCGGAAAGTATTGCGTTAATAATTTTGAGATAAGCTAATTTCATATTACATCATTTACATATAATACAGTTTACTCTATTGTATACGAGGTCGATTTTGTTGTAGAATAATATATGAACTGTCCGTACATAATTAAACAGAGCAACCATCCGTTTCTTACATTAAAATGTTAGTATTTGGGTCAACTTACCGTTGTTTATTTATTATTGTTTTAAAGAAATAAAATTAAAGAACTGTATGTTAAGGGTGAGAAAATTTCTACTGAATTTAAGCTTATATCTGCCGTAAATTTAACAATATAAGTTGACTTAAATTATTAATATTTTCGTGTAGGTAATTGTGGGACATAATACTTAAAATTTTTACATGCTCCATCACATTGTTTGTCGCAACTTGAATGTTATTGCATTAATGCGCTGCTTTTGTTGCATTGTGTTTCATGTTGTGCTTATACTATAAATACCATTTCTCATTTTGTACCAGTCGTACTCGTGGAGCGGCTCCCAGCAAAGGTTATCAAGAGATTTATGGGAACCATCTCGAGTGAGTAAAATCATAAAACATTAGCGATTGCATTTTCACTTTTGCTGCATGCTTTTTATTGCTTGTTCTCCAGATAACTTTTTCTATGCACCTAATTGTACAACGTAAGTAGTATATACAAATATAAACTAAACAAGAAACAGTGTGGGTTTTATTATACCGTGGACTTGGACAGGACCGGTCTTGGGCTCTACAATTTCCAGACCATCGTTAGGATGAGATTAAGGTTACTTCATCACTAAAAAAGAAATGTTGCAGTTGTTATAAGTTATAAATTATGCCAATAATAAGTTTATACTGAGTGTATTTAGTTGGTATGACTGTATTGGAACTATACTTACATAACAATTCAAAGAAAGTGGCCCGAAATAAGCATATTATCAGCTCTATTATGACAGGAGAGTATTGGTAGGAAAAATACCTGTCTGCACATCAATGTAGCGTTAATTTCTTGAGAAGACATTCAGAATGGCGTATGGAATATTTTATATTGTGTATCATATTTTATCTACGACAGTGTGGTTCAGAAATTCCATACCCGAAATACCGTTCATGAATTTCTACCAATCCCACTACCAAATTATCTATTTAGGTTTGCGCAGCACTATGGTCCTGCCTTGTTTAATTTCCCTTAATTGTCTAAAGTTAGCTTGTCTCCTTTTCTCCTTGGAGCTATAATAACCGATGTTTGTGAATTCAGTAAAGCAATAAAAGAAAATTATTTCAAACATAGTATATGTAT